GGCCTAGAGTCGTCCTGTCTCCATCTCCTGAATGTTGGCTGGGGTGACAGGCTGTGCCCCCACTCGTGGAGGATAACTGTATGACCCATTCTGAAGAAGCCCTGTCCATTTGCTGCATCCTCCGTGTTAAGGAATATGGTTCATTATAAATGCGATAGTTGAATTTCAGTTGAGCATCAGAACACCCCCTCACTCACTCCCTCAGTGCCATTTGATAAATTCTGATACCAACAAATACAAAGTTTTCCAGGTTAGTTTCTTTATTCCCATAAAATTTAATGCTCCAGTTTCATTTTGAGCAGTGGATAAGTCTGAAGACTGGACATGTGCTCGTTGTATCTTAGGCGGGACGATGAATGGGACTGGTCCTTCATATTTTAGTTTCAAAACTTCCCTGTCCGCCTCTTGTTGAAAGATAAAGGTCACATTTTCAGACTAGACGTTAGTTCTTGGGGAGAAAGGGCGAATGTTTAAGGCATTACTTTAAAAGAAGAGTTTTGAGTGGGTGTGGCTTTCTCATAGTTGATTCGGAATGCATGATGTTGCACAGAGCACAAGCTGGTCGAGTGGCTGTGCAGAAGCAGTGATTTGAAGCACCAGCACCCAGCTGTGCAGAAAAGAGTCAGTGCTTTAGTTTCTTTGAGAGCCGCGCCCTCGAGTCTGTGCGCAGCTGTGATGGCAACAAGGGCTGAGTCAAACGGGGGTGATGGGCAGGCCCTCCCATTCTCCATGCCCTTCTGTGATCATGGCCAGGGAACTTGGGACAGCTGCTTGCGATAACGGGAATTCAAACGTATACTCTGTTTATTGTATTTGTACAATTATGAATTTTCCTTTTGAACCCATCTTGCTGTCATGTGAACATGTTGATAGTATCACTGAATGTCATAGTACTGATCACCAAGGCCCTGTGAACTCTTTTGCCTGCACAAGCCCAAGTGAAACCACATGATGGAAGAGTCAAGGAGGTGAGAGCTAGGCGTAGACTAGGTTCATGGAGCACTTGTCAGGATCAAGGGCAGGACCAGCCCTTCCGGAAGCAGGCCACACAGCCCTGTTTTTTATAGAAAATACACTGAGAGAAGTCTAGAACTTGTTTACTTTCTCCCTCCCTTCTACCATCATTCTTCCTAAGTTTTCTTTTTCATTTCCTTCAGGTATCACTTCTTAAAACAACAACAACAAACCTTTATAGCCGAGTATGGTGGCACGGGCCCTTAGTCCCAGCACTCATGAGACAGAGGCAGGCAGATCTCCGTGAGTCAGAGGCTAGCCTAGTCTACATAGTAGGTTCCAGGATAGCCAACACTATACAGAGAGGCCCTTTCTCAAAAATTAACTAATAATACTGATAATAATCCTTAAAAAAAAAACCTTTTTAAACTTTTTGGTAATGTCAAGTGGCCAGTTTGTGATATTTAATCTTTTCTGAGAACTTCAGGATAATGGACTGAGATAATTAGCCACATTCAAAAATCTCACTCATATGTGAACACCATTGAAAATCTGTTTATCTACTGTTACCTCCAATAGTGGCTGACGAAAGACTCCATGATTTCTTTGTTCAAAACATGATGGTGAAAGTGTAGGCTTATCTCCTGGGTGGTGAAAGGGTGTCCTTTGTATGGGGCATTGAGAATACTGCCTGATCACACTTGGTAAGGATTTCTCATATACTCTTGTGTCTTCTCTCACTTTTACCCAGATTTTGTGCTAACCCACAGCCAGAGCCCTCTGAACTGCTTTTGTGTGTTTACTGAGTATTGAGACCGCGGGTCTTAGAAAATCTGCTCTCAGACCTGCCTTGCTGCCTCAGGGCACCTCTGCCCAAGGAGTGCCTCTGCCACAGAGCTCCCTGCTCTCCACCCCTGGGTTTGCTTCTGACTGCACTCATGCATTTAAGTGACAGGAAGCAACAACATTCTCCAAAGCTTGAGCTCTTTTCAGACAGTCACAGCAATGTGCCTGTGGTGTTGCAGTTGGTGAGTAAAGCCGGGACAGGGGTCGGACTGTTCTGCTCCGGGCAGTGCTTTGAAACACCAGAGCTATCTTCTGAGGAAAACTTTACCCAGTTCATGTGATCCAAACTGTCCAACCCACAGGCTTTTTCCATCCTTCTAAGGACTGGCACAACTTTACAAGTGTTTGGATGTAGGTGTCCCTCCTCGTCAGCAGGTTCTGGATAGGAACAGTTATGGACGCAGTGGGACTCACTGGACTCCCACTCTGCCTCTGGTTCTGGTTGGCCATCACCCTGCTCTAGCCATCTGACTGAGGAGTACGCTAACCCGCATCTCTTTAGTTCTTGCCTCTGCTCTTCCTTGCTGCTGCACACAGCACTGCAAGCAGGTCCTGGACTTGGTGTCTTCATTGTAGTTCACTTCAGTAGACAGTAATCAGGAGAACACACTGTAGTCCCTAAAGATGGCTGTAGAGAAGACACCCTGTCCTTCTGTGCCTGGTATACCACTTAGTTTCCCGTGCTGTTTCCTTTGCAGTTCCTCCCTACCCCATCCCCCTCTTTCCCTTTGACAAGTGTCACTCTTTGAATTTCCTCTGTTGGTTTTTGTTTTTGTTTTAGGAGTTTCTTTCTGGTGATGCGCACTTGCTATTTGGGGAGAGGAAGACCGAAAGCAACTCTAATAATTATTTAATTTTAAATCACTAAATGTTCAAACAGTCACCCAGTGCTACCATCTCTGTGCGATACTCACAATGACCTGCAGGACCCTCTCCCGTAAACCATAGCCCTTTCATCGCAGTGCCTTTTATGCTCAAGAAATATAGTTTGAAGACTTGAACATTATTTATATAAGCATTTGATAGTTTATTAAATTTTTTACACTGCTTGTGTCTTCTCCAAAAACCTTGAACTGCATTAAATTTTTTTTTTTTTTTTTTTACCTAAAAAGACCATGCTAGTATGGAGTATAATGTATAGTTAGTTTTCTCCCCAAAATTGTTCTTTATGTGATATTTTCATTGCCTGGAAAGAATCAATGTTTAAAAACTTTTCAAGAATGTATTTAGTATTGACTTAAATGTTTTAAAATCCATTTTGTGAACATTTTACTATTCCAGCATGCTAAGTGAGGTCGCTTTCAGGTTCGGGTCTTTAGAGACTGTTAGCGGCAAGTCAGTTAGCCCCACATTAGTAATTTGCAGATTAACCTGCTGTTCTTGGTTCCATTAGCCCTTTATTTACAGCTTCCCTTTGAGGGCAGGGGGTGTAGTTCAGTTGGTAGACTGTCTGACTAGCATACGTGAGCCCCTGGTTTCAGCCCCCTGCATTGCATACACTAGGTGTGGCAGTGACACATACTGTTTCCCAAACTCCAAAGACGACCAGTTCAAGTTCATCCTTGACTACACAGTGAGTTCGAGACTAGCCTGGGAGAGCCTTGTGCGTGAGACCTTATCTCAAAAAGTTAATCAAAACTACTAATCTCAATAGCACTAAGCTTCATTTTCTTCAGCATAGTCTACATCAGAAAATATCAACCTTTATTATCAGAAAGAGCAAGCTGCAACTAATTGAATCCACTTGAAAGTGTTAGAGGAAGAATCGTATTTTCCTTTCTGCCAGCCACTGAGACAGGAAAGTCAAGAGTCCAGCCAGGCCCCAGATGGTGGGGCAGATCCCCTGAGCCAGGGACGGGCCTTCAGTCCTACTGCTTTGCACAGTCTGTGCAGAGAATGGGGACGTTTGCTTGGCAGCACAGTGCTCAGTAGATTGGAGCTGTGAGCACGGTCGCGCACTCATCACAGCTCTTACTTAGCGAGGAACTGTACTCTTGATAGAGTCTGGTGCTATATCTTAATGACAGTGTTCGCAGGTAAGGACGGATAGATTATTATAATAATGAAAATATCCAAAAATACATCCTTTTTTTTTTTTAAAGCACAATTCAGGAAGTTTATAAACCTTGACTTTAGATTTCATTCCTTTGTTTACATTTTTCTTTTGTTTTGTTTTGTTTTGTTATTTTGAGACAAGATCTCACTATGTAGCTCTAGCTATCCTAGAACCCACTATGTAGACCTGGGTAGCCTGGTAGCTCACAGAAGTACTCTTGCCTCTGCCTTCCGAGACACACATCGCTTATGTCTAGTTTAACTTTAAATTTCTTTTCCATTTAATCAAACTTCCTCTCTGCCTAAATAGATAGCATATGATTCTATACATATATTTCTAAAATCTGTCCCAGCAAAGAAGTCCTACTCAATAGTTATACATTTCAGTAATTCAGAATGCTTTTTGCTTATATAACATACAGCAATTTCTTTATTTAAAAACAAGGGTGGGAGAGAGAAAGAGTGTTAATATAGATTGAACTGGGGGCCTTGCAAATGTTATGCAGTGCTGTGCCACTGCGCCAAGTCCTGAACCCTACTTAACGTTTCAAACTTGGGTAGATGCATGATGTGTGCTTGAATAGTCAAAGTTAATAATGGTCAGTAATGTACTGGTCAGTTTTGAGTACTCCGTATAGATTGATCGGCTCAGTTGTTGCTCATAAGAGGTACTCTGTTATCTCGTTCTACAGACCAGAACACTAAGGGACAGGTTGAAAACACCTGGCCGGCAGCATATAAAAAACTGGGCGTGTGTTTAGGCAGTGTAGCTCCAGAGTTATGCTTCTGCTGCTGTGCTGTGCTTCCAGCCTCGCATGCCAAGAAATCTGAACTGGCTCTAGCTGCTCATCCCTATAATCCTAGCATTTGGGAGGCTAAGCAGGACAGTGGGTTCAATGCCCGCTGGGCTACATAGTGCAGCTACCTCAAGGAAAGGATGTTGCCAGGGAGAAAAGAGAAGAAAGGAGAGACGAGGGGGGGGGGATGAGGGAGAGTGGGCTCTACTTCACTTTTTAACTCTGTATGCTTCAGTTTCCTTCATATATAAAGCATTTCTGATAGCAGTGGTCTCATATTAAATAAAATACCTATAAGGGTTTGAATTCCTCATGTTAGAGTCTGTACATTTTGTTTTCATTTGGTAGAAAAGAGTAGTTGAGCAGCTGCGGAAGAACCTGATAGTCAAGCAAGAGCAGCCGGACAAGTTCCAGATACAGCCATTGCCACAGTCTGAAAATAAACTACAGACAGCACAGCAGCAACCACTACAGCCACTACAGCCACTGCAACAGCAGCAGCAGCAGCAGCAACAGCAACAGCAGCAGCAGCAGCAGCAGCAGCAGCAGCAGCAGCAGCACGCCCAGCAGTCAGCAGCACCGCCCAGCCTGACTGCATCCCAGGTAACCGTGTGGGTGAAGCAGCCCGGGCTGAGTTCTGGGGATTGGTTGGTTATTGGTGACATAGCACTGGCTCCTACGCCAGCTGTCCTAAATTCAACTAACACCAAACAAAGTTTTCTGGATCAGTTAAATGCACTGGCAGAACGAAAGAGCCTTCTAGGGAGCAAAAGTTAAATGACTGAGTTGGGAGTGTGGCTCATTCATGAAGCCATGGGTTTGATTCTCAGCACCACATAAAACCAGGTGTGGTGGTTTATGCCTATGATCCCAGCACTCTGAGGTAGAGGCAGGGGGATCAGGAAGTCAGTCACCTTTGACTACATAGGCAGTTAAAGTTTGACGCCAGCGTGGGCTTCATGAGATCTTATCTCAAATAAAGAAAAAAAAAAGATTGAGGGAAAAAAAGCTAAATGATTTCCATTGGGAATGGAACTCAGCAATAGAGTGCTTGCCAACCATGTCCAAACCTAGCAACACACATGAACACACTTATCTGTGCATACATGCATGCTAAATGATTTTCTGCTGTCTTCAACAACAAAGACAGATCACTGAGCACCCCGCTGAGTTAGAGTCTTACTGGAGACTTCTGGGTGTCTATTTGTATTTGTTTCTACAGTGATTCTACCTCTTCTGGAATTGTTTTTCTGAAGCTTGTAGCAGTTAGGCACGTAGCTGTCCCAATGTCGCTTTTGGGACCATGTAAAAAGAATCGTCCAAAAGAGTGATATGTTTTTATTATCCATAGAGATAACATGTTCATGTCAAGTCCACATTCTTGAGAATGTATGCGGGTTCTCCACTGGTGGAGATCTGGAATCAGGGTGCAGGTGAGACTTAGAGCTAAGTGGGGCTTAGTGTTCTAGCCTGATGCAACTGTGGAAATGTTTTACTGGGAAGGGGCATTTGACCTAACACACTGAAAGGACATATTTGGAATTAACATTTGATTAAGAAAATTATTCAGACTTAACCTCTACAGACATATATTATGAATGTACTTTTTTAAGAGGAACCGATGGGCCTGAGGAGGTGGCTCAGTTGGAAAAGTGTTTGCTGTATAAGCATGAAGGACTGAGTTCTACACCCAACACCTACATAAAAAAGAATAGTGCATCGTCATGTATGTTTTTTTTTTATTACCGGTGCTAGGGGAGCAGAGATAGGAGAATGGAGCTTGCTGGCCAGCCAGCCTAGCTGAATCTGTAAGTTCAAGATTCCAGTGAGTGGTCCTGTCTCAAAACACAAGATGAGGGCTGGAGAGATGGCTCACCAGTTAACAGCATTTGGTGCTCTTGAAGAAGACCTGGGCACCCACATCAAGAGGCATGCAACAATTTGTAAGTCCAGTTCCAGGAAATCAAGTTCCTCCTTCTGGCTCTCCAGGCACCTGTAAGCATGGGGTACACACACACACCCAGTCCAGGCACCTGTAAGCATGGAGTGCACACACACACACCCAGGCACGCATGTGCACACACTAAATGAGTAAGTTTAAAAGCAAAGTTGATGATAACTGAAGAACAATACCTGAAGTTGGCCTCTGGCCTCCACATGTCTGCACATCTGCACACACACAAATTTATCCAAATAAGTGGATAAATAAGTAAACACACCATAATAAAAGAGGGGATGCAGAGGCTTGGAAGTTAAGAGTAGTCACTGATCTTACAGAGGAACTCAGTTTAATTCTCAGTGGTGCTGCCTGCCATCCATAACTCTAAGCAGCAGCAGCAGATTAATGGCTTCTTCTGGACTCTGTAGGCACCAGGTATGCACGTGGTGCACATATATGCCTACAGACAAAACATCATACACATAAGTCAGTTTTTTTTAGGAGTCTAGCTGGACATGGCGGCAAACATCTTTAATCCCAGCACTCTGGGAGGCAGAGGATGGAGGACCCTGTAAGTTCAAGACAAGTCTAGTCTACAAATTGAGTTCTAGGACAACCAGGGCTGTTACAAGAGAAACAGTGTTTTGAAAAACAAAGCAAAACAACAACAAAAAGATTCTAATGTGTTGGGGCTGTAGCTTAGTAATAGAGTACTTGTCTAGCATATTTCAGATCCTATGTTCCATCCTTAATGTCTTAGTTAGGATGTCTATTGCTGTGAAGAGACTCCATGGCCATGGCAACATTTATTGGGTGGTTTATAGTTTCAGAGGTTTATTTCATTGTCACCTTGGTGGGACATAGCAGTAGGTAAACAAACATGATGCTGGAGAAGGAGCTGAGAGTGGAAAGGAGCTACATCTTGATCCCAGAGTGTTGAAATAGGAGCGGCGGGGCTGCGTCCCCAGCACCCCGGCCGCCTGGCTAGCTCATGCCCAAAATAACAACACACAAACTGTATTCATTTAAACACTGCTGGACCCATTTCTATCTAGCCTCTTCTAGGCTAATTCTCACATATTAATTTAGCCCATTTCTAATCATCTGTGTAAGCACCCCAAGGTGCGCTTACCGGGAAGATTCTAGCCTACATCCATCCTGGGTCGGAGGAGCTTCATTGCGTGCATCTGCCCGGGAGAGCGGAGCATGCCTCTCTGTCTGAGGCGTCTGGCTCTGAGAGGAGCTGCATTACTTCTGACCTCACTTCCTCTTCCTCCCAGCATTCTCTTCTGTTTACTCCACCCACCTATGTTCTAACCAATAAAATGGGCCAAGCCAGTTTCTTTATTAGCCAATGACCTTCCTCCATCACCACAGGCTGCAGGAAGTGGTCTGAGTGTCACAGTGAGTGAAGCTTGAGCACATATGAGGTCTCGAAGCCCACCTGCACAGTGGCACTCTTTCTCACCCAACAAAGCCACACCTCCTAATAGTGGCTCTCCCTATGAGATTATAGGTGCCAGTTGCACTTAAACTACCACACTCAGCATTACAAAAATAATAATGAATAAATCTTAAAATTTTTTAATTAAAGTAAAACAAAAAGAATTTTGCCATTAGTGTTACTGCCTATATGTCTGCATGAACTTCTATCTTGTAGACTTCAAGTTTTGTCATAATTAAAGAACTTTATGGAAGTGTAATATCTGCTACCTTCTCTTCAAGATCATCAGGCTCAAACAGAATTAGCTAACCAGTTCCAAACATAACTTCCATTAAAATCATTGCCTTTGATTCTTCTCTTCTTCCTTTTGGGACAGCTGAGACATTTTTAGTATGTTTATATGTCAAAGTCCCCTTCTCATCTAAACCCTAGCACTCCAAGAGTTTGCTTCATGTTCCCTAATATTTGGAATAGAGTAGCAGATCAGAGTGAGAACTTAAATAGGTCGTGAATACATTCTTTAAGAAGCTATCACTTCTTTAAGAAGCTATCACTGGCCGGGCCGTGGTGGCGCATGCCTTTAATCCCAGCACTTGGGAGGCAGAGGCAGGCGGATCTCTGTGAGTTCAAGGCCAGCCTGGTCTACAAGAGTGAGTTCCAGGACAGGCTCCAAAGCTACAGAGAAACCCTGTCTCAAAAAAAAAAAAAAAAAAAAAAGAAGAAGAAGAAGAAGAAGAAGAAGAAGAAGAAGAAGAAGAAGAAGAAGAAGAAGAAGAAGAAGAAGAAAGAAGAAACTATCACTGAGATATTTGCACTACATCTTTGGCCTATGTGTTATGTAGAATTACATGGATGTTAGAATATATGGAATGAAATTAGCCACAATTAAATACATCTAAAGGAGAATAAAAATGCTTAGTTACAGTGTCAAGTAACTCATCAGGTTTAATGTTATAGAAGCATTGAATTAATGGTAAGTATATAATTTAGGTATATTTATTTGTGTTTTTATTCAGTATTTACTAGAATAATCAGTTTTGAGTTGATCCAGTATTAGTAATGATTTGCCTCAACTAGAGGTGTTTCACACACGTGCATTGACTTCATTTAAAGCAACATCAGCACACAAACTGCTTTAAAATCTGTGTCATTGAGTTCTGCTGACCACAGCTTCAAGTCCACAGCCTGTGGTACACCAGGATTGAAGGCCATCTGGTCCAGCTTGCTCACTTACCACTTCAAAAGCTCTTTGTATTCAAGCATTTTAAATTGAAAGATGAGGCTGATAGTATAGTATGTTTAAAACTCTGCAAGGACTGGCTTTGTGAGCGAGCCTGTGCTGCTACATTCTCTAGCACTTCGAGTGTGATAAAATGGCCTTTGGCTGTTGTTTGGCTTTCAATGCTGACTTGCTGCGCAGGTGCCATTCCACATTGAGAAGGCAGTGGCAGATGGCATAAGCTGTCCATGTTCATTTGGGGGCTTTTAATTGTAGGATTGCTGATTAAATTGTGGGATGGATGAAACCACATTATTATGTTTTGTTGTTGTTGTTGTTGAAAGGAGATTTTAAAAGCTGAATGTGTGTGCATGCATGCACATGTCAGGCAGAAAAGGTAAGTAACTACAGACAGTACCTGGATACATGGTGCTCATACGGCATGGAGGTGAAATTCCTTCAGGGAGGTTTTCCGGGGTGTGGAGGAGAAGGGGCTCCCAGTGATTCCTGCACTACTGGGCATGCTCTCACCCCACTGTCCAGCTGCTAGTTTCTTGCCACATGTGGCTTAGAAAAATATCGTGAGTACAAGTGCAGGACTGACCTTTTAATTTTTTAATTAAAGTTTATGAAAGGCCAGGTGTCGCTAGTGGCTGCCAAACTATAGAGTATATTTTAGAAGGGGAAATTAAAGCGGAATAAATATTAGAACCAGTGAGTTGGAGATGAATATCTGCATCTTGAGTGACTAGTAGTAGTGCCAGGTAGATAGATGTGTGCGCCATGTAACACACATCTTTAACAGAATTGTAATTGTTCTAGTAAAGTGTTAGGAAAATGCAGCTTCAGCGCTTCGGAAATAGCCTAGAAACATTAGTCAAGTCCTTACTAAAGCTCCTCCTCTGTTTCCCAAGGCCTTGGAAACCCAGGTGTTTGTTCCCACCTTGGTTTCCCTCCCTCTCTGATCACTTCCACGTCAGCTCTCCAGAGGGAAGACTGTAGGTAGTGGCACAGCCCCTTTGGAATAGAGAACTGGTGTTTCCTATGCTCGCTGACAGCATCATTATCTGTAACTTGGGGTTTACTACATCCGAGGCAGCAGTTATGCTGGTCCTCCTGTGAGTTTCCCTCCCACTTCTCCAGGGACCCTTTGCTCTGTGTCACAGGTGGCAAATAGCCAGACTGGTGAGGTTAGCAATCAGGGACAGAGACAACGTTCAGCTTAGATGTGAATTAACTGACTGCATCAGTTAGAAAACCCAGAAGCTTTACGTGCACTCATGTTCTGTACCTGTAGATGTGCACTGTCCTTTGCTTAGAACTTTGCTGTTTACAAGTGACCCTAACTTGAAAACTAGAGATTGTCTTTCTCTATAGTAAGAAGCATATTCTACATCACTAATGTTCATTTTATAGACAAACTTGGTTGCTTTGTTTCCTCTGGGAGTTCAGAAGCATATTGTTCAGTGGGGTCACATCTCAGTGTCCTAATGTCTGTTCTCCGTGTCTCCTAGAAGACTGTAACTACAGCTTCTATGATTACCACAAAGACACTACCTCTCGTCTTGAAAGCAGCAACTGCGACCATGCCTGCCTCTGTTGTGGGCCAGAGACCTACCATTGCTATGGTGACCGCCATCAACAGTCAGAAAGCTGTGCTCAGCACTGATGTGCAGAACACACCAGTCAACCTCCAGACGTCTAGTAAGGTCACTGGGCCTGGGGCAGAGGCTGTCCAAATTGTGGCAAAAAACACAGTCACTCTGGTAAGCCAGTAGCTGCTACTCAGTGTGTTCACATGAGGGTTCAGGTTGTGCATTGTAGAGTGTTTCCATTCTGAGCTCCTACTGGTTTCCTAGCAACGCGAACTCCCCTATGGACCTGTCAGTTAACTACAGAGGTGTCCTGACATCAGGAACCAGATTTAGTACATTGTCTGAGGTCAAAGTAGGACTTGGTTTCGGAGGAAAACTGCCCTTCACAAAGACACACACTGTTTCATTCTCTTTCCCTCCATTCTGTCCACTGCCATCTCCCCTAACTCCATGGATTCTGAGTGCTGAAAGCCCCTGTGCTTTATTTTGCTTTGAGGAAAACCCTGTTACATTCTTTCAGTTCATTATCACTCTAATTTGAATGCAGCCCCTGAAGTACTTAAGGTTGGTTGGGGCACACTTTAAACATTTTAAAGAAATTCAGAGGTTAATGTGCCAATGGTCAAGTCCTGCCAGAGGGAGGATGCCCTGGAGGGAACACCTGAACAAGACTGTCCATGAGATGTCCATTGTCGAGACGTGTAGGCACTGTTGTTCTTGGAAGTTTATGAGAACCAGGTCCAGACTGTGACACTCAGTTATCTTCTTCCCATGACAAAGCTCTTGGTGACTTTTAGAATATTGGCCAATAATGAGTAAAAGTAGCAACGAAGTGAAGCTTTGTCATTTACCCAGGAGTCCTTGGAAATGCTGTCCTGTCGCTCAGCCAGATGCTAGGGTCAGGAGTTTTCCGTAGGAAGAAAGCCGTTCAGCCGTTCTCTGTTGGGTGAAGCTTAAATCTTGCGGGAGGGGAGAGGGGAGGGGAGGGGGGATCCAGACTCTTAAAATATCTAAGTGTAAGAGAGTTCATGAGTGTCAGAGAAAATTGTCCAGGTTTGCTGTGTCTACTTTGTTCTACATAAGGCGTGTGAGAGACAGTGCGCAGGGGGAAAGAACAAGCTTCTAAAGCAGTGTTAATTCGCATAGTGAGCTGCATGGCAGTATGGTGGGGATGCTGTGTGGTGTGGGGAGCAGGCACCTGTGTCTTTTGAATGTCTGCCTCTAACACTGAATGTGACTGCCCCTCAGGTTTATTTATCTTTCCTCTTTATGTTTGCTTGTTTTAAACAGGTTCAAGCAACACCTCCTCAGCCCATCAAAGTACCACAGTTTATCCCTCCTCCTAGGCTCACTCCACGTCCAAACTTCCTCCCACAGGTGAGAAACCAGTGGAGAGCAATGGTGGGTAAGGTGGCATGCAGGCCGCGTGTGCCTGCCCTTGTGGAGAAAGTGAAGCAGAACTAAGTGTAAAGCGCCAAGAGAATGCCATCATGGCACCACTAACTCCTTGGGAATACAGTCAGAACTGTTCTGGCTCTAGGGAACAGAGATGTGCACCACTTTCGATGTCTTTTCCCTCTGCTAAAAGGAGTAGAAACGGCCAAACAAACCCCTGTGACCTTGCTTACGGAAGATGGAGTTCAGGTCTGCATTGTGCTTTTCTGCCCACACCTAAGCAGTTGTGTTGCTTCTCACCCCTGACAGTTCTCCCAGCACTAGACCAGCCCTGGTGGTCTCCAGGTGGTTCCTCCAATAGAAAGGCCAAGAGTTACTCTCTGAGGTGCCCCTGTCAGGAAGAGAAGAGAACGGAATCTGAGGAGTCGGACAGTGCTAGCATGAGAGAAGGCCATCCTGTTATTTTCCAGATAGATCTTTAATAAGTCCTGTGGGTAGCAAAACATTGTACTAAGCTTTTGTTCCCTGGACATGCTGATTTTCAAGATGCAGCTCTCAGCTGTCCGAGAGCATCATCACAGGTACCTATAGGGATTAAAGTGTTCATAGGGAAGCATGGTAGGCGAGCATGTGGAAGGAACTCTCACCATTCTGGACTGATGGAGAAGGTCTGTTCATGATTTCCTTGAAGAATATGTTCAGTGGGAGGCCTAAATTTTGATGAAGAAATTTAAAAACTGCATGTGTGCAGTAGGGACACACACGTCTGAGAGGACAGTGTAAACTGTGTGTGCAGTGGGGACACACACGTCTGAGAGGACAGTGTAAACTGTGTGTGCAGTGGACACACACGTCTGAGAGGACAGTGTAAACTGTGTGTGCAGTGGACACACATGTCTGAGAGGACAGTGTAAACTGTGTGTGCAGTGGGGACACACACGTCTGAGAGGACAGTGTAAACTGTGTGTGCAGTGGACACACACGTCTGAGAGGACAGTGTAAACTGTGTGTGCAGTGGACACACATGTCTGAGAGGACAGTGTAAACTGTGTGTGCAGTGGGGACACACACGTCTGAGAGGACAGTGTAAACTGTGTGTGCAGTGGACACACACGTCTGAGAGGACAGTGTAAACTGTGTGTGCAGTGGACACACATGTCTGAGAGGACAGTGTAAACTGTGTGTGCAGTGGGGACACACACGTCTGAGAGGACAGTGTAAACTGTGTGTGCAGTGGACACACACGTCTGAGAGGACAGTGTAAACTGTGTGCAGTGGACACACACGTCTGAGAGGACAGTGTAAACTGTGTGCAGTGGACACACACGTCTGAGAGGACAGTGTAAACTGTGTGTGTGCAGTGGACACACACGTCTGAGAGGACAGTGTAAACTGTGTGTGTGCAGTGGACACACACGTCTGAGAGGACAGTGTAAACTGTGTGTGTGCAGTGGACACACACGTCTGAGAGGACAGTGTAAACTGTGTGTGTGCAGTGGGGACACACGTGTGTTCAAGGAACCAAGGAGATTGCTGTGGCTGTGCAGAGCCCATGAAGCTGACCTGGTTCGACTTCGAGAAAGAGCCTAGAAAAGTGTGCTGGGAAGAGCCTGGGGCCCTTGCCACTGTGCTGAGATATGGGCTGTATCCTAGCAGCAGTGTAAATCAGTGGAAGGATCTTTGGGCAAGTACAGGACATGATCACACTCAGTGTTTTAGAAATTCCTTCTTTTGCTATGCAAACTACAGGTTTAGAAATTCCTTTTTTTGCTATGCAAACTACAGGTTGGATGTACTTAAGAGTGGATAGAAAGAGTAGTCAGGACCTTAGCAGAAATGATATGAAGCCCGCTGTCGTCTAGACACTCCATACAGCCATTTTCATTCCCACAGTAGCCCTATGAGAGATTTCAATAAAGAATTAAAGGTTTCGTCCATGTTTCTCTTGTGGGGCAGATTTCATGAAGCTTTTATGTTTTAGGGACATATATCCATCGCAGGTTTGATGTAGAAGACCGTCACGACCACACCTGGCAGCAGTCTGCACCTCCAGTAATGCAGTGTTATTCTCTCTCTCATAGGTCCGACCCAAGCCTGTGGCCCAGAATAACATTCCTATTGCTCCAGCGCCTCCTCCCATGCTTGCAGCTCCTCAGCTTATCCAGAGGCCTGTCATGCTGACCAAGTTTACACCCACAACCCTCCCCACATCCCAGAATTCCATCCACCCTGTTCGTGTCGTCAATGGACAGACTGCAACCATAGCCAAAACGTTCCCCATGGCCCAGCTCACCAGCATTGTGATAGCTACTCCAGGGACCAGACTCGCTGGACCTCAGACTGTACAGCTTAGCAAACCAAGCCTTGAGAAGCAGGTATGGGCAGAGTGCTTATGTGCCTGCTGTGGCAGTGGCCCTGGCTTTGAAGCAGTAGCTGCTAGACACTTTCTAAGTACGCCTTGTCAGGGGTTCTTCATCTCGGCACCAAGCCAACATCCTATCGCTTTGTTGTATGATAATTCATTCACATCCAAGAGCTGTTTCTCCAGAAGAAAGTTGGGTTGCTGTCCTAGGGGTGCTGGCTTCAGAGTCTTGTGTGAGTGAGCTCCCCCTGCTGGCTGCTGCAGAAATTCGCAGTGAGGAAGCCTGTCTCCCACTCCCCACCCCAGTCCTACACCTGAAACAGAAAGCACGTCTTGGCTTCACCCGGGAAGAACCCAGGTGTGGACCTGACTGTGGCGGTCAGTCAGGGACAGTAAGCAGAGCAGGGAAGGACTTCATCTCGGGGACTTCTGCCATCATCACAGATTTTCACTTTCCAGAACTCACCCTCTGAGCTCTAGACTAGTTGTAGCAGACATTGGAGCCCTGCATTGACGGTTTCTAAAGTCAGATTGTTCTCATACTTGAGTGAGACTAGAGTAAAGCCAGTACAGGTATAACCGCAGAGAGGGGGGTCTCCAGACAGTCACTTCACCGTCTGGAGAAAGACCAGTGATGAGAAGGAGTCCTTCAGACAAAGGCAAGTTTTCAAGAAAGTTGCTTTAACTAATCACTGGCCTGCCCAGCATGGTGGGGCATATTTGCTAGCACAATACCAGGAGCCTGAGGTAGGAAGATAGTCACAACTTGGAGCCAGTCTGAGCCAGGACCACCCTACTCAGCTTTAGACCTCCAAGCTCCTTGAAGTAACTCACAGTGCTGTTACTTTCTGTCCTAAACCTCACTTTTCTTTGGGAAGAAAAAGCTTTTTGTCATTTTCATTTTACTTTTTCATTTCTTTTTCTGATCATAGAGATAATATATGTGATTTTAAGAAATACTAACATCACAGAAATATAAATTGTAGGATAGTCTGTCCTCCTAATTTATTTATTCCTGAAATTTTAATAAAAATTTACCTTTAGTACTTATTATTAACCTTTCAATTATGTGCCTACCTCAAAAAGTCATTATCTTGGTCTGTTTCTAATTGCTCAGACTTGACTTCCCATTTATGTGAAAATAGTCTCTAGCTGGGTAGTGGTGCCGCACGCCTTTGATCCCGGTATTCAGGAGGTAGAGGCAGGTGGATCTCTCTGAGTTCAAGGCCAGCCTAGTCTACGAGTGAGATCCAGGACAGGGTCCAAAGCTGCGTAGAGAAACTCTATCTCAAAAAACAAACAAAAAAGTCTCTGGTGGATCTCAGTCTTCTGCCTGATTGGGAAAGCAACCATGATTCAGAAAGGCTGGCCCCTGGTGGGCGTAGCTCAGGGAATGCTGCTTCGACCTTCTTGGACTCAGACCACTCATCCATGCAGCAGAGCTGAATCAAGAAACACACAAGATGGCTCATCACCATTCCTGCAGAGCCGCCCAAACACCAGCACACCAGCAAGTGCTTCGAGGGGCTTGCTAGGATTTTTTTTTTTTGAGGGGGGGAGTCAAAACAGGGTTTCTCTGTAGCTTTGGGGCCTTTCCTGAAACTCACTCTATAGACCAGGCTGACCTCGAACTCACAGAGATCCTCCTGCCTCTGCCTCCTGAATGCTGGGATAGAGGTGTGTGCCAGCACCACTGAACTAAATTATTAGCACCAACTTTAGATCAGAGGTTTTGAGACGATTTGACAGCAGTCCTTCAGTGCTCAAGACTTAGGGGACAAGACCTGAGGGCTGTGCTGACCCTTGGAAGTGCTGGTGGGGAGTGAGGCTGAAGAGATGGCTCAGTGGTTAAGAGCACTGACTGCTCTACCAGAGGACCTGGGTTCAGTTCCCAGCACCCACATGGCAGCTCATAGCTGTCTGTAACTCGGATTCCAGGGAACCCAACACCCATGATAAAACACCAATGCACATTACCGTGAGGCCTGAGTGCGCCTCAGAAAGTGGTGCCAAGTGCCACTTCCATCGCTTCTCTATCACTTCTGGTAAATAAGGAAAACTATTTTCATTTTCATCTTATTTTTACAGATATTACATGTGATTTTAAAATGTAGACATCACAGTTATATAAGATGCTGTCCCCATGACCTATACTTTCTGTAATTTTAGTCTAACTTTACCACCAGCAGTTCATTGCTATTAGCATTTTCTATTATGTGCCTCTAGATAGTTTCTGTTTACATACCAACAGAGTTTTAAAGCGCACCATGTATTTAACCCAGTCTTCTCTAGACTTTAGGCATCTTTTTATGTCTTGCACTGTCAAGGTGACGATGTTTTGCGGTTTGATTTGAATAGCATAGAAGCTCTAAGTTAAAGGCTTGTGTGTCCTGGCATCCTCTCTGCCAGAATATAGGAATCCAGTCATTGCTCGTTAAGTTGGCAGGCCATCTGGACTAGCAGCCCTCAGATTAGCCCAGTTCTTGGGATTCCCTTCTGCGGAGCTTCTGCTGAGCTCCTCGTAGGTGAGCTAACATAGGAGACAGGTAGTCACCTGTTCAGAGATTTACTAAGCCTGTGTGTACAGGGTTCTCAAGGCTCACTAGGTTTGCTGTTTCTTCAGTTAACCTTCTTCACTTCTTGAAAACATGTTAGTGAGCACTAGGATGTAGCCCAGTGATGGAGCTCTGGCCTGGTATGCACAAGGACCTGGGTTTCATCCCTCAAACCAACAACAAACAGACAAGTGCCAGCTGCTTTGCTCCTCATGCTGTTTGTATATAAAGATGAAAAGGAGAAAATCAAAGCCCATCAACGCGGAGCTCAGTCTTGGGCATGTGCAGCAGTCGCTGAAGCTTTGCCCCCGGGAAGGAAGCATCCAGGCTGTGTTGACCCTCAGCCTCTCTCTCTCTTTGACGAAGGAAAGAAGGCAGTAAAGTTATACTAGCAATGGGTTCTTCTTATCCAGCCTCACTAGAGAGCCTCTGGTGTCTGCCTTACTGTGGTTCTGAGAGAGGAGAGGAGGAGCTTACAGAGCCTGAGTGCTAAGGACACCATGGGCTTTGGTTCTAGCCCACCGCAGTTAAGCAAGACATACAAAAGTCCAGGTCCACAACCTGCTCTCCCCGGTACATGTAGAGTCATGTATGCAGTATGCTGCAATCTCAGGCTACCGTTACATAGCAGAGTTTTAAAACCTTCAGCAAGTGGTCATGTTGCCGCTAGTTGAGAGTCTTGCTCTGAGACTGGTGGCTGTCGAAGGTTGAGGTGACTGGTTCGTCAGTCACACTTCCTTTATGAGGGATTTCTGTGTAGTGTGTGATTACTTTGGTGACACCTTTTTCTTGACAGGGCTTCTTCAAAGAAATAGAATGAATCTCTAATATTCTCTAGATAAGATTCCATCTCAGAAAGCATTCACTTTTCTCATCATGGGGAACAGCCCCTCTCCGATTAGAGCCTAATCATCACGGGATGAGTGCAGCGCCACCACAGCCCCGTGCTCTGCTTCCGACTCCAGTACCTGCTGCTTCCGCCATCTTTGATTGCTGTTGCATTAGTGTTGCTGTGTTTGTTTAAGCTTTACTGTCTCATGTTTGGTCAGCTTGGGTAAGGTATTTCTAGAGATTTGTCCATTTCTTTTATGTTACATGTTTGTCATACAATTATCTGATGTATTCTCTTAAACACCTTATTTTATTACTGTAAGTAAGATTAAGAATGATGCTTTCCTGCTTTTTCATTATTTCATCCTTATCCTTGGTCTCTAGAAGTTTATAACTTTGGTCAATGTTTTTTTCCCAAAGGACCACTTTGAGTTTTTTGTTTTATTTGTTTTGAGACAAAGTCTCCCTATGTAACTCTAGCTTGCCTTGTACTCACAGATTCCCCCTGCCCCTGCCCCTGCCTCTGCACCTGTCCCTGCTATATTAAAAGCATGTAGGGATATAATATATATTACACCAAACAAAGTCAGCTCTAAGTTAGAAGCACAAAGGGCATAGATGTTTCTTGTGTCAAAATACAGGTATAAAAGAATTGATCTGAAAAGGCGGTATAAGAATTTTAATATATGCACCTATCAAAAAAGTCCCAAGATTTATGAAGTAAATACTGATGGAGTTGAAGAGACAGACTGTCCTACACCAGTGGCTAAAAGTATTACTTCCCTGGTTTAAATAATGGCTCCAACACGTAGAGGAAAACGTGTGAATAAGAGAACTGAACAGACTGTACACCAATTAGCCCTAAAACATACAAAATGCTCTTTTAGCATTTTCCTTTCAACCCTTTGTACCTTCCACTCTGAAGTGAGTCTCTCGCAGGAGCTTAATTTATCCATCTTGCTACTCTCTGCCTTTCAGTTTCAGTGGCCAGCAGTGAGGAGATACTTGGCTGTGTTGCTGTCTGCATACCTTACGCCTTCTTCTTCCCTTGTTCCTTCAGTACTGCCCTTCTTTGTGTTTTTATTTTTCCTAGTGTACATTTTCGTGTCTTCATCATATCCTTCTTTTCCATATATATTTCATTTTCTTAGTAGTTACCATGGAGATTACAGTTAGCTTTAACAATCTCATTTTAATTGATCCCAGTTCAGTTCAAAATTTCTGCTCCTGTGCAATTCTGTCCTGCTGTGCATGTTATATCATAATTATATCTTTATAGTGTGTGTTCGCTAATACAGATTTAACTGTTGTCTCATGCAGTAATCTTTTATATAGGAGCAGAGTGAGCAGTTACTAATCTAAACTGCTGTGATGTGGCCTGTGTAGTGCCTTGACTGGAGTTCTCTTTGTGGCTCAAGTAATGATCTGCTGTCTGTCATTTCTTTAAGGCAGGTGTGCAGGCAGTGCTTTCGTGTCTGAATCTCTTAATTTATCCTTCATTCTTTCAGAATAGTTTTAGCACAATATAGGATTGTTAGGTGATGGCTTTGATTTTTCTGGGTTTGTTTGTTTTACCCATCCCTTTAGGAATGTTGTTCCTCTGCCTTCTGCTTAGCTAGTTTGGGCTCCAGGTCTCTTACAAGTTTGTAGTCAAAGTAGTTGAGCAGAGCTGCAGTTGTCACCAGGCCTAACTAGAGTTGAGTAATTTATGTCTAAGCTCAGTCAAGTGACTTGTGGCCTCACTTTTTGCTGGTTGTGGGCAGGAGGACTATTTCATCTGGCCTTAGTATCTCTGTAGTTCTGGGCACGTGACAGCCTTCTCCTAGAGCAAGAGAAAGTACCCCACCCCAAATGTTTTGATTGTTTTCTTTTTGTTTGGATTTTTTTTAATGTTCTTTTTCCAACACTCAGTATGTTGTTCTTTCCAGAGAGAGAGAGAGAGAGAGGTGTGTGGTAATCATCTTCGGTGCAGAGGGACTTGCCTCTCCCAGGAGCAGTGCTACCAAGTGTTTGTTCAACCATGGAAATATGAGAGGGGCTCTCAGGGAACTGTTTCACGCAGGAATGGAACACAAGCCCTGTGGTTGACCTTCATTCCTCTGTCCTTTCATGTTCATATCGCAAAAATAAGCCAATTCTGATTACCCCAAACCTTAGTAATATTACTATGAATGGCGTTCCAATTAAAGGTTTCCTTTATGGAGGAAATGGGTCCTTTTAGGACTAAATTAAAAGCTATGTTTGTAAGGAAGGAGAAGGGGATTGAGACAGAGATTGAAATGTGATTGACTCTCCTGGAGGCCAGTGCTGTATTGATACAAGTATGATGTGTCGTGCTGGCTCAAAGGACGACAGTAACAAGGGGTATGCAGCAGCCCCCGCTCACATGGCATACAATACAGATGGAGACGTATGCAGGACTGCGGTGAGAGCAGTAAAGGCGGCAGCTGGGCCCCAGGACAGTGGCTGTCCTCATATTGATAAGCAAGTCTTACATTTGCCTATGTAACAGCATGCAAAGCCAGAGGCAAAGTATGGAAATAGCCAGAGAAAAAAGTAAAACTTTTTTCAGATCCCGTACATTATTTTTCATCATTATGGTTTTCAAGAACTTTTGATGTCTTTTTTTATGGGTCTAAAGTCTTGCACTCAGCTCCTGTCTGTCAATAGTCAGATTTTGTTCTAATTACTTAATCACTTGTTGTTACCTCACAAAATACCATTGCACCTATAATTTTCATTAGTTTTTTAAAAGTAAGTTTATGTTTATAGTTTTACGTCTTCTGTTCTGAAACGATTTTGTTTCTACAGAATGTATAAAAGAGCTAGCCATTGCTCATAGTAAGAACAGTCATGCAGGACTGCCCGGTGATAGCTCCCATTTGTGTCCTCAGATTGTAATGTACTGGTATTTGTGTGTTTCCATAAATGCGTCTAGAAGGAGTTGGAAGGGTCAGAACGTCAGCCTCTTGCAAGTCAGTTTTTAGTGCCCCAGGTAACGGTAGTTGTGGGGTTGTTCAAAAGAAAACCTTGGGATAGACTGTACATCTTAAGCACGGGGACAGAGCTTAGCCCTTATGTAGCGATGATGGGATGTTTCTGGGACCCTCCACATCCCACAGCCAAGGAAAATAACCTATACTTCAGTTTCTCTTTGCCTTTAAAAAATATTTCTAATCACCTTTTAATTTTATATGTTTGAATATTTTGCCTGAACTTATGTCTGAACACCATGTGTGTGTCTGATGCCCAAGAAGATCAAAAGAGGGCCCAGGGATTAGAGTTACAGATGGTTATGAGCTGCCATTTAGGTGCTGAGAACTGAACCCAGATCCACTGCAAGAGAAGCCAATGTTTTTGGCCTCTGAGCCCTTGTTCGCCTTCTTTCAAAGCATCATATTTCCTGGGCGTTGCGTGTGCTGTGGTGCACATGTGGAGGTCAGGAGACACTAAGGGAAGTTAGTTGTCCTTTTATGCCAGGTGGCTCTTGGGGACCAAATTTCATGTTACTGGCTTGGCAACAGGTGTCCCACCTGCTGGCACTTCATCCTTATATGCAGGAACTGTACCTTTATCTGATGGTATTTATAGGTTCGTATTACTCAGGCATGCAGTCCAGTGTCTCCAGCTGACTTTCACATTTTTCTTCCTCTTCAACAAATACATCATATGAACTTGTCTGGTAATGTTTCAAATTTGAGTACACTATTTTTTCCTGACTATAGTTCAACTATTTCCACTTCTTTTAATAAAACATTAATTCTGAATTTTTGCTTAATTGTTCTCTCCTAGACAGTTAAATCCCACCCAGACACAGAGGAGAAGCAAGCAGAGAGCCGTACCGTCACTCCACCTGCTGCACCAAAACCAAAACGAGAAGAGAACCCTCAGGTAGGGCCGCCCTGCACACTTCATGTGCCCCAGGGCTGTTGATTCAGCTCCCTCAATGTTCCTTTCATTCAGCAGTGTGGTGACCTGGTCAGGTCAACCTGGGGCAGGTTTTTAAGCACAAAGTCCTGAGGGCCCAAGTACAGGTGCTGAAAGGAGGAGTTCTGACATGATGTTTTCATATAAACTCTGTAAACTTGAAACAGAAGATTAAAGATGAACTTCCCAGGGTCCTGCAGCATTCCTAAGGAAGGCAGTGCTGGGCTTGGCTCAGACAACGTGTGTAAGCAGCTGAGGGGTTACATTGTGGGCTGCCATCAGGTGCTCAGTTTATTACATTAGAGCCACAGATTCCAAACACTGAGCATGAAAGTGGTTTGGCAGAGGTAATGTTAACACTATGACAGAGCCCAGCAAAAGCGACGAACTGTGTGCCCATGGACGAGAGGGCGTTCTCCCTTGACGCAAATGCAGGTGTGGTTACGATGGAGGGTGTCATAGAGAAGCCATACCAGACAGCGGCATGAGGATGATGGCATTGTGCCTTTTTTTTTTCTTTAAACGAACAAAGGGAAGATCAGCTGAGCGGAAGTGGAGTACACGTTTAATCCCAGTGCTCAGGAGGCAAAGACAGGCAGATCTCTGAGTCTGAGGCCAGCCTGGTCTATAGAATGAGTTCCGGGACATCGGGGCTACACAGAAAAACCCTGTCTTGGAAAACAAACAAACAAACAAACAAACAAAAAAACGGAAAGATCTATTAAACCAGCCCAGTTTTTTTTTTTTTTTAAACTAATATCAAATGTTCTTCTTCCTGAGGTGAAATCAGTTGTATTTTTTAAAGGGCTGGAACTTGAACCAAAAAGAAGCAGTTGTTACAAAAATTAATGAAAAACTTGTAGCTCATTCACAAAAAATGCTTGAGGTCTTTAAAAGCCATGAGTAGACAGTGAAGACATACTTTTCAGATCACAGCCAACCAGAGCAAAGTATACCATTCTCTTTCCAGTCTAAAGATCTTACATTCTACCTCAGAGGTACAGCTGCAGGGAAACCGCCCCATGATATTTAGCTTTCATCTTTAACTGAAAACATTAGCTGGTGTTCCTACATCCCAGTGAAGAGTGCGTGGCCCTCCACATGCATCTTCACTATGGGTACTCTTTAAGAGGATTCTCTAGGCAAGAGCCAGACAGCAGTCAGTCCAGATGCTGATGTGTGACTTCGCCAAAGTGGGAAGTGTTGGCCCTTATCAGAACAGAAGGCCTCTGTGGTGGCAGCTTTCCTGCTCTCTGAGATCCCACACTGAAATAGATTCTTTTGTTTCTCTGCCACAGAAACTTGCCTTCATGGTGTCTCTAGGGTTGGTAACACATGACCATCTAGAAGGTAAGAGAAGATATTCTCCACATGTCTTTTTCCTAGCTTTGTTCCTAAAAGTGATGTTTGCGTGAATTCCTAGAGCACAAATAGAGTATTAGTCAACCAGTATGGACTGGATTTCCATACTGTCTAGGCCCCCTCTTCCTGGTGCCATTCACACTCCTGTCCTGGGAAGCTCCCCAGCTTCCTGAATGAAGGTGGCTTCTGCTTTTGTCTCAGCGCAGTAGCAAGTGCTCCTCTGACAAGTCCTTGTCTCTGCTTCCCAGCGCTGTCCATCAGGACCTGAGGGCAGTGACAAGGCTCCGTGACCCTTGTTATTTAGTTCGGGGTGGTGAACTTTGGTTGGTAGTCTGTAGATGCAGCTCACACAGACCTGTGTGCACAGCAGTCTAAAACTCAGTGAGAATGGCTGTCTGCAAATGTGGCCCAGCCTTGCTCTGAAGGGCCCTGGCCTTCCCTGCTGAGAGGCTCAAGCAGTGTGCCTGCTCCAGTGGAGGCCTTGGTACGACAAATCCTCGCCCTGCTCCTTCTTGGTTGCAGGAAACCCAGCACATTAAACAGTGAACTGTTCCTTAGCTTCTTTGTTCCTATCTTCTAACTGAAACCTTTTCTTCCGAAGAAATCCAAAGCAAGAGGCAGGAGCGAAAGAGGAGAACAACAGCGAACCCAGTGTACAGCGGGGCCGTCTTTGAGCCAGAGGTACTCCAGCCAGCACTGGCCCTCCTCATGCTCTGGGTTCATCTGTGACTTAGCCCCTCCCACTGAGAGCCTGCTAAGAGCAGCAGGGCTGTACTCAGCTCCTTCAGCTCTGCCAAGCGATAGATAGGCTTCTCTCTGCTCCTAACACCACTGCGTTATCCATCACTGCTTGCCTCTTAAGGTTTTGTTTTGCTAAGTGTGAGTAGATACAATCCTGTGTTTTTGTTCATCCTGACTTGACTACACTGTCATGGAGCAGAGACGGGCCCCTTTGTCGTATTCTCTCGGAGTCAAATACATATAATAAAACACATTAGCGCTGAGACCGTGGTATGATTGGCACAGACTGGTTAGCATGTGGTAGACATGTTTGGTGTTCTTGATAGCCATGGTATTCAATAGTCTCCTCTCCCTCTTAACTCCCTCAAGCGAAAGAAGAGCGCAGTCACTTACCTTAACAGCACAATGCATCCTGGGACGCGGAAGAGAGGTGAGTTCCTTTTAAAAACCTATCTTGCTTCTGCCTCTGCTTTCTATGTTGTTTTCTTTTTCTCCTACCTTCCTCTTTTCCATTGTCTTAGAATCTAGCTCCTCTGGCCTTGAAAATAGTTTTTGTTGTTTCCTGAGAACATGGAGGAAAAGAGAGATCTCTTAGTGCTCTGAGCACAGGGCTAAAAACTGACTTTCCAAGTCCTTCTAAGCTAGCTCAGAATGCAGCCTTTCCGCCCCAGCACAGTAGGCCGTCCATGAACAGCTCAGTGATCAAAACACCTGCTGCCGCCTAGGCGTCAGTGAGCGTAGAACAGGACTGAGTGTTTGTGATCTGCAGAGAACTTAGAATCTTCTATCATGAGCATCTCCAGCTAAGGAAGAAAAGTATGCTGGGAAAATTCCCATCTTCCAGCCCAGAACAGCAGCAACTCCCATCACACAGGTCTAACTAGGTCTTCATAACTCGGGCTTTGACTCATAAACAAGGTACTGAAATCACCCTCTGATGTTAGGAATATATCCCAAGATCCCTTTCTCCATGTGGTAATGTGCCCCTGAGTTGCAGTTACAGGCTGGAAAGGTTGCCGAGTGAGTGATCTTTGAGCAAACACATAGACTCTCAGAGCCTTTGGAGACTGGAGGTCACCCTGACCTTTGTCTGCTGTGGACAGAGCTACCAATGTGCCATTATATTGCTGAGGCACAGCCAGCCTCAGTGACATGTGCAGTCTTTCATCAGTCCTGTCCTGCAAGTAACCAACCCATCTAGATGGGAAGCCCTTAAGTTACTGCTTTGTACTGGCTCCTGGGCCACAGTCATAGTTACTTTTTGGCTTTGTGGTCAGCTGTTTTTTAGTGACCACACAGTTCTCAGGTAAGAGGTCCCCAGCCAGTGCCCTCAATTAATTGTCCTGCTGGGAGGTAGTATCTGCTTAGAGAAGAGGGGTTAAATGAGCCAGAAAGATCAGAGGCTGAAGCCTGCATTCTCGGTGCTCTGAACATATCTTGTATGGGTGAGCAAAGAGGGTTTGTTGTCAGTTTGCTTCCCACAGCACTAGGCTCTTTAGGGAAAGACCAGTCAAATCTGTCTCTGTAACACACACTCTGCCTGACACAGGCAGCGCTTCTGTGGCATCTGCATGACCCTGACATAAGCCTTCACCAGTGCTTGTAGGCAGACGAGTGCCTTTTCCTGACTTTGGTGGGTTGGTTTGTACTCAGGATCACTGGCAGCTCAGGAGACACGGGCCTCGATGTAGGTGCGTGGTGAGAGGGACCGCCCTAGACTGCCCATGACCCTGGGCTCTGCTTGTAGATTCACAAAAATGCCCCGTTCTGTTCTTTGACATGCCGTCCTTGCATGTTGATGGTGTGGAGCAGCAAGACTGATACCCGAGGCTGGGAACCTGTGAATTCACTGTCCTCGTACACTCCAGCTGCTCCTAGAAACTCCCTCCCAGAGGCGCTGACAGCAGGGCCAGAATAGTTGACTGGAATTCTGCCTCCTCACATTGCCTTCCTCCACTCTTGCCAACTGTAAAGTTATAAGCTGTTCACAAAAGAGACATGGAAAAGCAGAAATGCTGAATAAATCCATTCACGAGAACAGAAGATCGTTAGGAATGCCAGCTGCAGGAAAATTCTTAGTGACTGATGCATGAAACACATGAAGGATGAACTCTGTTCTGGCTTCATGAAACCTGGGTCCTCCTATTAGAAACCTCAGACTATGATCGTCCAGGAACGGTCATGCCCCGCCGAGATGGGGTCTCTTTACAAGTACATCACCTTTTACCCCTCTCCAAGGCGCCCTTCTTCTCTCTTCTTTTAGAGTTCATGTAGTTGTTTCTAATGGCATTGAAATCTTTGCTTCTTTTCCTTCCTCTGGTCTGTGTATTAACCTTCTGTCTGCTACCTCACTTCCTTTCCCATGCTAGCCAATGAGGAACACTGGCCAAAGGTATGTAAGAACCATTTTCCCCCTGTCTTTCCCTCCCCCTTTTCCCCTTTTGTTCCCTTCTCTTGGTATATAGGTCGTCCTCCAAAATACAATGCAGTGCTGGGGTTTGGAGCCCTTACCCCAACATCCCCCCAATCCAGTCATCCCGACTCCCCTGAAAATGAAAAGACAGAGACCACATTCACTTTCCCTGCACCTGTGCAGCCTGTGTCCCTGCCCAGCCCCACCTCCACAGACGTAAGTAACTCGGGGGCCTGCACTCTCTCTGAGAGCTCACCTGGGAAAGCCATTGTCCTGTATTGTCTCCTCGCCAGATTGATCCTTCCTCGCTAGCCCTGGAACAACAATAGACCCTGCATACTGCCTGCATACCATGCCCAGGCAGCTTTCTTCTGGGATCTTGGCTGTTTCTTGTCCTTGAGAGTCATGTTCACATAAATCCAGGGATCCCAGGGTTGAAGAGTCTGGATTTATCAGCTGTGAATGAACTCTCGGAGGAGGGTGGGAACATGGATCTCTAAGTTGAGGGTTCTCTGCCATTGATGCATTGGAGAGAGCACGAGCAGAGCAGATGCGTCTAGCAGCCCTGCTGCTGTGTTAGGCACACCTCTAGAAGTGCAGTGTTTTCTGTTTGGGGGAGCTGGTCAGAAGCAGGTTCCAGCAGCAAGTTCACTCAGCAGATCCTCACTGAACCCTGTTCTGCTGAGCAAGTGCTGCTCATGAAGCTGGGGATACAGCAAGGAACAAACCGAGCAAAATGCAAGCACTTGGGGGCTCATGTTCTGTAGGAGGAGGAAGGCAACAAGGGAACAAATATGTAACCCAGTAGGCAGAGATGAGCACCAGAAGGAGAAGTGGAACAGTAGTGAACACGGTGCAGTGCCAGGAAGGTGAAGGCATCCACAAAGAGGGAGAAGGGACCTCTCAGCTGTGTGTGGGAGCTGTGACTGGAGAGGTGACAGGTCCGCTCGTGCACGGTTCTGTGACGTCTGTTCTAAGTACAACAGGAAGCCACCGGTGGAATGACATCATCCCACTGATGTGTTGTATTGTGCAGAGGTTGCTGCAGTGGTGCAGTGGACAGTGACATCATTTGCTCTGATGCATTAGTTGACTTCCTTTACATGCTTGGACCCACATGCATGTGCAAACATGTGCACACTTCTTTGTTTTTAGAAGTTGGTTACATCTGATCATGTAATACTCAGTTCATATTCCAGTTTTTTCACTTGTCCCAGTAATTGCCTTCGTCTAAGATCACTCTTGGCACTTATTTCCCTGGTTGAATCTCTTTACCCTTTTTTATTCTGAAACCGTTTCTTAGGCCATCTTTTTTTTTTTAATTAAAATCTATTCGTTTAGAGTATGTGTATCTGTGTCTTTGTGTATGCACCCATGCCGTGCATTTATGTGGCGGTCAGAGGACAGCTTTTGGGAGTCAGTCCTCTCCTTCCACTTTGTGGGTCCCTGGGATTGAACTCAGGACATGAAGCTTGGTGACAAGTGCACTTGTCCACTGAGCTGTCTGACCAGGTCCCCTAGCCTGTCTTTGTCTTTCCTAACGGTGGGGCAGGTGCTCCACTGGACATGCATTCTGAAGGCACCTACATTCAGGATGACAGATAGTGTATCCAGGCAGAGGCATGTGATGTCAGCCAGGTTCCTCTCTTGAGATGATCCCCATTGGATTTTTTCACTTGTAAAGTCTGTTTTCACTCTGGTTAGAGATAGCATTGAATCTGTAAGTATCTAGTAGTTTCCTAACAGACTTGTTATCCAAGACTGAAGCCTCCTTGGAAGGTTCCTGGTGCTTACAGTGCCAACTGGAGTTTGAAAGGAGCACTGCAGAGAGAGGGACTTAGGAAGGGTGGAATGAAGCAGAGAGGCCTTAAGAAGGCTGCTGTGGTGGTCCGGGCAAGAGATAGTGACACATAGTCCTGATGGAGTGGTAGACGCAGAAATGGAGAAAGTGGCCAGTTCTGTTTGTATTTTGAAGATTTGGGTGGATTAAATTGAATAATGAGAAAAAGAGAATTGTCGAGGATAAATGTAAAGTTCATGGTCTAAACAACCAGAAGGCTGAAGATGACAAGTAACAGAACATCATCTCTTAGGAACTGCAGGGCTTGTGTTAACCATCTTCCGGCAAAATGTTCCTTACAGTCGAAGGCTCTCTTGACTTACTAATGGCACAGTCCTCTCCACAAGAATGCCACTGAAGCCCCGAGTTAGAATTCTGGAGGCAGCAAACCAAGTATTATCTTTGAAGAACTTGGGGTCATAGGAGACTTCTGTTCCCAGAAGGTTCCATTCCTGCTGTAGCTGGTTGCTACAGACTTGTCCTGTTCTAAAGACTTAGCATTCTGTCCATCCTTCCTAACCTTTGGCCCTGGGAACTGATGCAAGTTTTCTAACTGTCAGGGTCACATGCACCTGGAGTCCCTGCCAGAAACCATGTTTGCCGATACCAAAGACTGTTCCAGCTTTTCCCCAGTCCAGGTGTGATCAAAGAAACCAGCAGCTCACTGACTCCCTGTGCCTTGATGCACAGTGCCTTGTGCCCTGTGCCTTGGTCTGGGTTCTTTTGTTGAGTCTATGCTTTTCTTTTACAGCCTAGACCTAAAGGTTCTGGCCAAATCACAAACTAAAAGCTTTTTACCAGATTTCATCTTAAAGCACAAACATAGTTCTTTGCAGAAATCTAAAGACAAAATAATGCTTTTCTGAAACCACTAAAAATATTGAGAATTTCCTGAGTTAAACCCAGTGGGATACATTTTTTTTAAAGAGATAATTGACTTCTACTTTTACAGCACCCAACAGCAGCTGTGATTAAATCAACACACAGGGTTCTGTGCTTGCTGCTGGGTAGCATAGCCTCGACATTAATTAGACAATAGCAGTTGAGAGCCGAGCATTTCCTGGGGATCAATAACCATCTAGAAGGACTTGGTGATACAAGACCCAGCCAGCCAGTAATCCTCAGGATGTACCTTGTTGATGCTATTATTTTCAAGGGAAGGGAAGATATGTTTACTAATTATAAATTTTTAACATGCAGTGAAGCTGAAGTTGGTAGAGGCCGTATGTCCTCAGCAATGTCACAGTCAAGCATATTTCAACTGAAGTTTGCTCATGACCTGTCACCAGAGTTAAGCCTTTTGACCTCCACTCTTTAGGCAAAGACTGACGCTGATGGATGAACTGTCCCTGTATTTTATATTCATTCTGACATTCTTGGAATTTTATATTTAAACTGTTAGTCTAGATAGAGCAGTTCTCAAAATTTGGTCTGGAGTCGCTGGCGCTCTTTAGGGATATATAAAGCAAAATTGTTTACAAAGTAATACTAATGCATCAGGCACCAGCCCCATCCTCTTCCTCAGAACTAGATGGGATTTCCAGATACAACATCCCATGTGTTATGGTGGATGTTTAATGCTTCTTGTGTTCTTAAGTTTTGTTTCAGTGTACTGTTGCTATAACTCTATGATTCTGTAATTAACACAGATGTCCTCAATGACTTTCAGTACATAGAAATTCTAACAGCTGGAGAGATGGCTGCTCCTCCAGGGGACCTGGGTTCATCCCCCAGCACCCACATGGCAGCTCACAACTGTCTATAACTACACAGTTCCAGAGGATCTGACAACCTCACAAAGACTTAAAAACATACATGTAGGCAAAACACCAATGGACATAAAATAAAAATAAATTATAAGAAAGAAAGAAATCCTGACACTCAAACACTAGATACTTCTACTGTATTGTATGTAAATATGAAATCTGAAAGATGGAACTGGAAAGATACGTGGACACGTGCACGTGCACACACATGTGCACACAAAGGGCAGTTTCCTGCAGAGAGAAACGGTTTGACTGGGAAAATGCATTCCCTCAGTGGTGTGGTGGTGGAGGAGGGACTTGGCATCACTCTCCGTCTTTCCGCTTACTCTGTAGTTCTGTGGAAGACTTTCTAGCAGAGGGCCCCGGACATCTTAAAGCAGTGTTCTCCAGCCTGTCCCTTCCCTGTCATCCTAATCCATGTGTGGATGGAGTCTCAGCCACACAACAGATTGTGCATCGATTTGCTGAAACACACCTCTTCAAAAACTCTTGATTTATTCTCCCTGTGTTCTTCCCTCCAGATTTTAAGTAGACCTGCCATGCTTTGGTTTGATGGTGCATTCTGTTCTGAGGGCCCAGATGCACCCAAGCACTGTAGAGTTCCCATTAGTGAAGTATTTGATGGGGAAGAACAAAGCCCCCCACTGGATGGTCTGTTGAGCAGCAAATGCCAGTGCTGCAGAGCATCATTGGCTGCTACTGTGCCTTCCCCAGCCCCATGTGCTAGATAGAAGCTTCTATAAGGTTTCTGCTCCTGGCTCACTGTACTTTGCCCACATAAGCAAGAGGTTGAGTTTATTGTATGCTTGTGTTTCCAAATTCTTCTTAAACTCCCCCAGATGGTAGATAATAAATGCCACTCCTGTCATAGTGTGAATGGCTTTGTCAGTGACTTTTGGCATTGCAGGTGCCAACTCTTTACCTAAGCCATTGATTTAGGTCTTTGCTGTCAACTCTGACTTATAAGGTTAAATCCTCAGTCTAAATTTGTAAGTTTAAAGAAAGTCCTTAATGTTTCAATTTCAACTTAAATTGCCAACCCATAAGCTGAGATCTGTGGAGCAGGCAGGGTCTATGCTATTTGTGATCCCTGCTTTTACACACCGATGTGTTGGAGGCTGTCTCTGGGCCGTCAGCTTGCTGTCGGTGTGCAAGGTGGCACTGAGTTCTTCCTCGTCGTTTTTCTTACCCTTCCTCTCCGTCTCACAGGGTGATATCCATGAAGATTTTTGCAGTGTTTGCAGAAAGAGTGGCCAGTTACTGATGTGTGATACGTGTTCCCGCGTGTATCATCTGGATTGCTTAGACCCGCCTCTGAAAACAATTCCCAAGGGCATGTGGATCTGCCCCAGATGTCAGGACCAGGTACTGGGGGTGGGCCAAGGAAAAGAAGGACAATGCCACAGAAATTCCTTTCTCTCCCATTCTGGGGAATAGGCTTCTCTTTTTTTGGTCATTATTCCGTAGGTCCCATCCTCCTAGCTCACGGCACAGCATGCAGACACACAGCATGCAGACACACAGCAGAGCCTTTGTTCACCCACAGGCTCCTTAAAACATGAATTGCCTCCTTCAATGAGAAATGACTTCTTTCCCTTTGAAATCCAGACCCTCTGCCCTGCATGGTGGCACATGCCTATAATTCTAGCACTTGAGGGGCTAAGCTTAGAGCTTTACAAGTTCAAGAGCAGCCTGAGCTACATAGTAAGACTACCACAAAAAAAGAAAAAAGAAAAAAAAGAAAAAGAAAAGAAAATAGAACAAAAAATAAGTAAAGATCCTTAAGAGCTCATTCTTGGCCGAGTCTGGTTGTGCACACCCTAAGTCCCAGCAGTTGGGAAGCTGAGACTGGTGGATTTCTGAGTTTGAGCCAGCCTGGTATACATAATATCTCACTTTCCAAGTCAAGCCAGGGCTACAAAGTGAGATATTATATCAAAAAAAAAAACTAAACAAAAATAAATAAAACCTGATTTCTAAATTTTGGGGGGGGGGGGGGAATGGGAGTGTTTCTTTTGTAATGCTGGGACCCAAACCCAGGGCCTTGTGAATACTACGTAAGCTCTCTGTTGAGCTGCATCTTAAGTCCACTGCATTGAGACAAGATCTCTCTCTCTCTCTCTCTCTCTCTCTCTCTCTCTCTCTCTCTCTCTCTCTCCCCCTACCCACCACCCCCGGAGTGCTGGGTCCACACGTCTGACCACGCCTGTCGTGGCCCTCCTCCCATCAGCTCCAGTGTAGTCAGGGTGCCCTTCACCTGCTCCCTCTCTCCCCATGCGGCCCTCCTGACTTCGGGATTTAGAACTGTATTCACCTACTTGGAGAAGGTGTTTTTGAGGGACATAACAAAACTAAATTTGAAACAAACAGCCCATGCGAGCTCAAAGGCAGACTTGCCTGAGGGGACGGCATCGTGCTAGCCTCGTACCAGCCTCCAGCTCCACGCTGCTGGTTCTGGCTCTAGGGTGGTTGGAGTTATGTGGTTTTGTTTTCTTGGTTGAATGGATGTTTTTATTTTTGCTTTTGTTTTGAGACAGGGTCTCACTGTATAGTCCTGGCTGACCTGGAACTCTCTATGTAAACCAGGTAGACCTCAGACTCACAGAGATCCACCTGCATCTGCCTCCTGAGTGCTGGGATTTAAGGTGTACTCTCCCATGTCCCAGCTCATGTGACCTTTTTTATATTTTTATGTATTCGTTTTATGTGTATCTGTGTTTTATCTGTTTGTCTATCTGTGCACCGTGTAATATGCCTGGTGCTCTGTGTCCTCAGTGACCAAAAGAGGGTGTCATATATCCTGGGGCTGGAGTTACAGACAATTGTGAGCTGCCATGTGGGTGCTGGAGTTTGAACCTGGTATGTCTGGAAGAGCAGCCAGTGCTCATAACCACTGAGCCATCTCTCCAGCCCTCACATGACTTTGAAAGAGATACAGGATGCTCCCAGCTCTCTGCCTCTTCCTTGACTTTGGGCAATCTATCCACAAGCCTCCCTGGGTCTTGGCCACAACCAGACACTGGTGCTTGCTGTTACCTTGATTCTCAAGGGAGAATTCTAAATTCTTTTCAGATGCTGAAGAAGGAAGAAGCAATTCCATGGCCTGGAACTTTAGCCATTGTTCATTCTTATATTGCCTACAAAGCAGGTAAGGTCTGCCTTTCCAGAAGAAAATGCTACTAGAAAGCCATGTTGGTTTTGTTTGCAAAGGAAAATAAAAATGCTTTATTGAGTGAAGTTGAAGGTGTTTGAACCACCTTTTCAGACGGAAACTGTGAAGTGTGGTTCCATACCTGTGTAAAACCTGGCCCAGTCCACCAAGGCCAGCATACACTGAAGAGTCCAGGTGGTCAGGTTCTGTGTCCTGGCTGTGTGACCGAGGGGCACTTTCAGGGTGGGTGTCTGGTGAACACCTGAACCAGGTAAGCTCTTCAAAGAACTGATCGTTTGAAACCTATTTTCTCCCCCAGCAAAAGAAGAGGAGAAACAGAAGCTACTTAAGTGGAGTTCAGATTTGAAACAGGAGCGAGAGCAGCTAGAGCAGAAGGTGAAGGAGCTCAGCAGTTCTATAAGTGTAAGCCACATTCCGTCCTGGGTCCAGTCCAGTGTGCACTAGTGACCAGCGCGGGCAGCTGGATGTCTGCCTTCTGAGCTAGTGTGCAGTGCTCAGGAGCCATGGCCACATGGCACGGGACACCTCGCCCAGCTCTGAGCGTCCATGAGTAGCGGCTGCCCCACTGGAGCACCCCCCAGTGCCTGTGCAGTTTTGATTGCTTAGGAGGAAGGTAGAGCCTCTCCCGACCCTGAGCAGACCTGGGCCCCCTTGAGTGACTCTTTTAGAGACCTAATTTACTGGACTAAGGGAAGGACTACCAGCTGGTAACCCAAAATGACCAAACTAAACCCAAACGACCTGGTTCACTGACTGGAGTCTTTTGACTTGGGTCTCAGGACTCTTAAACATGACTGCCATCCCCATCCAGGTCCTACCTCTAGATTATGAGTGAGTAAATGATCTTCCAGAGACCTCAAGTCAATTCCTGTGTCTCTCGCTGGCAGAAACACGCTTCAGGGCAGTTTTTGTGGTGAATTTATCATAGTATCTTTGTAAGTTCCAGTGTCCAGTAGAGTTGGCTTTCACCTACCCATTGACCCCCAGCCTCTCACGTCCTCCTTTGATAATGTCTGCCCATAACAGGTGGAACAGTATAAGTTGTGGGGTGCACACCAGTGCACAGGGGTTGGTTTGTGGGGTCACTGGGCCCAGGCGGCTGAGTCCATCCTTGTGATTGGCCCAGGCGGCTGAGTCCTTCCTTGTGATTGGCCCAGGCGGCTGAGTCCTTCCTTGTGATTGGCTGCAGAAATGTATGGAGATGAAGAATAGCATCCTGGCCCGGCAGAAGGAGATGCGCAGCTCCCTGGACAAGGTGAAACAGCTCATCCGCCTCATCCATGGCATCGACCTCTCCAGACCTGTAGACTCTGAGGCCACTGTGGGGGCCCTCTCCAATGGCCCAGACTGCACCCCCCCTACCAACGCCGCCTCCACACCCGCCCCCTCCCCCTCCTCACAGAGCTGCACAGCGAACTGTAACCAGGGGGAAGAGACTAAATAACAGAGCCCTCGAGGAGATGCCACGTCTCGGTGGTGAGGAGACTCTAGAGAAGCAAAGCCGGAGTTCTTCTGGAAAGTACAGAATTCTTTTGGTTCTTTGGTTCCAGAGAGAGAGAAGATGCTTGTGCCAGGTGGCACCAAGTTTGCCAATTGATTCTTCTTATTCTGTGTGTACATGCAAAGATTGGACCATGTTACATGAAATAGTGCCAGCTGGAGGTTCTTTGCCAGCACCATGCCAAGTGAAATAATATATTTACTCTCTCTATTATACACCAGTGTGTGCCTGCAGCAGCCTCCACAGCCACGGTGGGTTTCTTTTTGTTTTGTTGGGTGGGGAGCAGGGACGGGCAGAGGGAGGAGAGCAGGTTTCTGATCCTTACTGGGAGCTGTTTGTTTAGGTAGAAAAGACAAGTCCAAAGAGTGTGTGGGCTTTCCTGTTCCTAAACTTTCACTACCATAAAACCAAAAAAAGAAAAAAGAAGAAAAAAAGAAAAAAACGGAAATAGAGGTTTAACTAACCCAGTGCCCAGAGGAGGGCCAGGGAAGGCTGGGGAGGGGGGAGCAAGGGGGGAAAGTATATGACATAAGCAGTATTTAATGTTTCTGGAGTGGGCCTAGTACCAAGAGAGCCTAGGTCCCCTCCCCAGCTCCGCTCTCCCCCACAGCCTCCAGCAGCCTCTTCCTTCCCTCTGCTCAGTGTAGTGCACAGCCCCAGGTGGTCCCCAGGCCTTGCTGAAGCAGGGAAGGGAAGGTGTGTGTGGTCCAGGAGGGAGAAAGAAAGGCGGACAAAGGTTTTACTTGAAAACAAGCTCCATCCTTTTTCTATATTTATAAGAAGAGAAGTTCTGAGCAGAGCAACACGACCAGGTGTGTGGGTGGAGACGACCCTTTTCTCTTCTTTGAGGCTTTGTTTCTGTTCTTGTTTTGTTTAAACAACATTTTATTTCATTGTTTATTTTATCTTTTTTGTTTTTGTTTTGTAACAAGAACTAAAATAAGGAATAAAGCAGCTGTTCCCAGGCTGGCATCCTGTTGAGGTAGCGAGACCTTGCATGGTAGAGTAGCCGTCATAGTGTCAGTGAGGTCAGTGAGTCTTCGTGGGTCCGTGTCATCGTCCGGCACCGTTTTTGCTTTTGGTTTTTTGGGTTTTTTTGTTTGTTTGTTTGTTTGTTTGGTGTTTTTTGTTTGTTTTGTTTTTTTTTAATGCAAGGGCAAAAAAAAATCTTTGTACCTGGGGAAAACAACAGCAACTTTGTTTTTTAATTAAAAAGGAAAACAAAAGATATTGAGGTCTTCCTAGTGTTACTTAAATTAAGATCAAGGTAAGAAACATTGTAAAAAAAAAATTACAAAAGTGCTATTTGTTTCCTAAAACAGTGATTTATATTAAAAAGGTGTCAGAACTGGAGAAAATGCCGTGTAGTTATAATTTTTTAGCACAGAACCTGCTGATCACAGTGACATTTTGCTGTGTTTGTGTCTCTGAACTGGTGGGCCAGTCTTCAGAACGGCAGGTCCTCCCGCCTTCTTTCTCCTCAGACTGTGCTGTCTTTGTGGTACAGGGATCACATTTCCTGTTTGAAGCCGAAATGGAGCGTGCATGGTGTGAGGGCCCCCACGGTCTGGGGCCTGCTAGCGTGCAGGCTGGTGCCCACCTAAGACCTTCCTTTGGTGCTGCTCTCGGTCCTTCAGCCACCAGCATTACGTATGCCTCGGGGGCACCTTTGGGGGCCTGACCAGTGGGGTGGGGTGCAGGCTGCTGCGTCAGAATTAAGGGAGGAGATGCTTTGAGGGTCCATATGTCTCTGAGAGCCTAGGTGGCCTTCAAGCCCATCTTGCATTGAAGAGAGAAGACTGAAGCCCCAGCTGTCCTCTGCCCACTGGCACCAGGGTCAGAGTTCACTCCATTCCACCCACCCACATGCTTCCTGGGTGTCCCTGGGCTAGAATCACTACACTTGCCTTGTTTGGCCTATTGCCTTTTCTTCCTGGAAAACTGGGGTTCTGCAAGACTCATAGTCGTCTCCCCTACAGTGCCATGGGGAAAGTAATCGAGATACATGTTGCCATGGGAACCTGTGTCCATGGCATGTCCTTGAGGGAAGGGACAGAGGCCGAGGCTCTGCCCTCGGGTCCACAAGCAGCATCTCTCTGGGGCCCACGAGGCCCCAAGTCTAGGAATAGCAGGAAAAGGCCCCTTTGCTTCGTCCTTGCCCAGAGCTGGATCCTGACAGGAACTGCAGTAGACAAGGGGTGCTTCCGAGAGTGAGCAAGGCCCATCCACACCAGCCGTCCATTCCTCTCCCCAGCATTTGAAAAGAGGCGCCCTAGTTTGGCCATGCAGGCCTCTGGCTTCAGGTTGACTGAGGGGAGCAGAAAAGAGCCCTCTTTTCTTATTCAGAAGCTAAGGTGCTAAGTCTAGTTGGAGATGCCTGGACTAGTTGGAGGAATCTTTGGCAAAAGATCAGAGACCAGCAGCAGGCTGATGTCTTGGCTCCCCCAACCTCCCAACCCCCTCTTGAACTTGTCTGGGCCCATAGGCTTGGACTTGGCACACAGTTCCTACCTGTGATGGGAAGAGGTTGAGAAGCCATCATCAGCCATTGCAGGCCTTTGCCCCAGAAGAGCTGCTTGCTTGTGACCGTGCAGGAGCTGAGCCGCGTAGATTCCTTCTGATGATGGAAGTGAGCTGCTTGTGTTCACTGGAGTGGAGTAAAAACTGTAGCCCTGCTCCAGGCCTCCATCTCCGTGCCCTTCCCTGTGTCAGCACAGCTCCTTGTCCCCGTAGACATCCGGGATCCTTCAGCTCCCCTTCCCCTTCCTGCGCAGCCACGTGTGTAAGACCTGCTGGCTTGGTGGTTGCTGTGGAGGGCCCAGGATGGGAGTCCCTTTGTCCCCCAGTCTAGGCTGGCAGGTGCAGGCTGTAGCGGTCGCCTTTCTTTTTCTGATCCTGCTGTCTTGCCTTCCCCTGCTGACTTCATCATTTCTCATCTCTTCCTTCCTTATCTGTCTGCTGATGGCACTCTTCAGGGAAGACCGCACTAGAGGCAATCCCTGGGTGGACCTACCTATGTGGGGCCTGTCTCTGGAGCCAATGGCAACCACCAGGCAGCCTCCGGCTGGCCCCCATCTTGATGATTGGTATCCTGTAGGGCCACCTCTCAGGCTGCTGCTGCTTCCTATCTGAAGCCCAACAGGCAGTGTTAAGGGTCATGTGTGCCCAACACTGACCCAGGGTTTCCAGCTGTCTATTTGCATGTACAGCTGCCTCTCCGCCACCTTCCTCTTAGGGCTACTGGAGCCTTCTTGACTCTCACCACCAGCCCCTTCCCCCAGTTCACACCCTCTAAGTGGTCTCTTCCATTAGGCCCTTCTTAGATACGGACCTTCCCTAACTAAAGGGCTGACCTTTTGAGGACATTTCCTTCCAGGAACAGCAGTAGAATAGACCAGTGGCCTTTTCTGGGCTCTCCAGAGCCCATGGCTTCTGTTGAATGCAGGCGACTTTGCTCTGTGTAAGGGATTGTGGGCCTTGTCCCACCCCTCATCCCAGCACCCTTGGCAGAAAACAGGAGTCTCTGCCTCTGCTCCTGTCAGCTCCTCCCCAGGCAAGATGGGTGACCTCTGGAAATACTCTGCTAACCCTCCCTGAGGAGTGAAGAGTCCCGAGAGCCAGGGTGGCACTCTTTAGCAATTCCACATGGCAGTCTTGGCCCCTGCACCCCTCTCCAGTGTCCTCGCTCTTAGACCAGGGTGAGTTGCAGTCGCTGGGTGGGCTGAGCAGACCAGAAGTCAGCAGCTCTGAGACAGAGCCAGACAGACCCAGTCCAGTCTATGTCCACGCCCTTTGTGATTTCAGTCCTGGTAGAATTTGTATTTGGAGTTTTGTGCTTCAAACTTTCTGTTTTGTTTGTTTGGTTTTTGTTTTGAGGGGGTAGGGGGGGGTACAGAGCAGCCGATCAATTTGTATTTATTTATTTTAACATTTTACTAAATAAAGCCAAATAAAGCCTCTCAGCCTCTTGGTGTTGAGTTTGGGGCTAGGGTGGGAAAGCGTGGGTTAGATATCCGTGTCTAGTCCGTGGCCTTGGAGGGTGCAGACCCACTGCCCACCGATGCCATCAGACTGCCCTCCACTCCCGCTGCCCACCGACGCCCTTGATTCCCCAGCGAGAGTATACAACGTGGTTTTTAAAACTTTACTGTGGGCTGAAAGAAATGACTCAGGGGTTAGACCTAGGTTTGGTTCCCAGCACTTACATGGTGGCTCACAGCTACTATAACTCCACTTCCAGGGGATCTAAAGCCCCCTTTTACATACATACATATAGGCAGGACAGTCACACATAAAAAGAAAACCCCAATTAAATTTTTTATTACTAAAGGGGATTGGGGGAACTAGCCCCAAACCAGCTGAGGCAAAGAAAGATTGAACCCCAATGGTGGAACAGCAACAAGGGAAAATCGAGGAACCCCCATAGATGCTCCACCCCAGCCCCTCTGACAAACCTTAAAATAATTTAAATAGCCGTAAAGGTGGGCACCCACCAGGGTTCTCCAGTGTCTGCAGGGAGTGTGTGTGAGAGCCCAGGGCAGCTTGGCAAGCTCAGGCCCGGCTCTGGGACGGCTGCAGGGCAGTGAGGTATTTGAGGGCTGCAGCCCCATAGCGCCGGGACAAGTCCTGGTGGAACTCCTCCTTGAAGGCCTGGAGACAGTCCCGATAGGTGGGGCTGGAGCGGAAGCGGGAGATATCCAGACTTGGAGCATGGGGCAGGTGGATGGAGAAGGCCTCGGGCAGCACCAGAAGTTCGTATTCCTGGAAATGTGGGGACAAAAGCCAGGGCTGATCTAGGGAGGAGCAAGTGAGGGCTCAAATGCAAACTCCTGCCATGGCCCACCAGGAAGGGGCAGACCACAGCCAGGGCAACAAGGCACCCTCTTCACCTGAGCGCACCCTCCTCACCTGAGCATCCAGCTCTATGATGTGGGCCACCTTGTTCCAGCCAAAGCCCACAAAGCGAGGATCATAGCGGGGACAGTCACGGGGTACCACCACATAGGGCTCGTAGTCAGCTGCCCATTGCACACGGTATGGTGCCTGGGCCTCCCGCCAGCGGGCATAGTCTGTGGGCGCATGACCCTGTGGCCACTCATGGTACCTGTGTAACAGCATCAGGTGGGAGCGGGGCTGAGGCTAGGAGTTTGTGAGCAGGGCGTGCGTGCGTGCGTGCGTGCGTGTGTGTGTGTGTGTGTGTGTGTGTGTGTGTGTGTTGGGACCCAGCATGGGACCAGTGGGGGAGAACTACCTGAAGGTGTAGAGGGAGCCTGCATCTAGTAAAGTCAACAGCTCTGCCTTGGAGTTCGGGAAGCTGAAGCGGTAGTGCAGGGTCTCAAATGCAGGCACCACCAAGGCAGCCTTCCGCTGCAGACTGCTCAGCTCCAGCTGCTCAATAGAGGCCCTGGGGAGGGGCATGTGGGAAGAAGGAACACTTAGCCTGCGGGTCTCACTCCTGCTGAGTCACAGCCTCCTCCTCCCAGGTAGCCAACCCAGTTGTTTCAGATAGCCTTTCCAGCTGGGTGGTGCTGGCACAGCCTTTATATATATTGAAGGGCCCTGCAGCCTTTCTTGCCAAGAAGTCAGGAGGCATCCCATACCTGACATTGGTATTTTTTAACAACCTATGGGTTCTGTCTGGAACCCATATTATCTACCCATATAGGGGACATCGATTCAGATGCTTTTTATCATTATAGATTTTTTTTTTTAATCCCAGCACTCGGGAGGCCAAGGCAGGCGGATATCTGTGAGTTTGAGGCCAGCCTGGTCTACAAGAGCTAGTTCCAGGACAGTCTCCAAAGCTACAGAGAAACCCTGTCTTGAAAAATGAAAAACCAAACAAACAGATAGCCTTCCCATACAGGAAACTGCTGTTTGAAGTAAGGCATTGCTTACTCGGTGGCCCAAAGAAAAGGCCCAAGACAAGCCCCATCTTACAGAAGCCATTGAGCCCCAGAAAGAAACGGACACAACAATCCAAGATACCCTGACCCTGACCGTGTATACCCCAAATGCTGCCCCTCTCCTACCCTTCAGGCCCACCTGAGGTAGTCATAGAGGGAGTAGGCAGGTAAGAAGTCAATGTCACTGAGGAAGACGTAGGGCGTGAGAGCCTGGGCCAAGGCCACATTGCGAAGCTGGTTGACCGGATAGAGGGGGCCCTCCCGGTACACTATATGGTAGGCTACATCCTTCCTCACAGAGAGCACTGGCGAAGTCTCCACGAAATGCAGGAACTGCTGAGCCTCTGCATCTGTCAGGTACAAGGCCAGGCTCATGGGGCCTGACCAGTGCCTGCACAGGGCTTCCAGCATCTGCAGCCTGGGGTGAGGGGGGTGGTCAGGCCAGTGCCAGCACAGGGCTTCCAGCATCTGCAGCCTGGGGTGAGGGGGGTGTTCAGGCCAGTGCTGCACAGGGCTCCCAGCATCTGCAGCCTGGGGTGAGGGGAGTGGTCAGGCCAGTGCCTGCACAGGACTTGCAGCCCTGCTCGGGACCCTCATGCACAGAAGCACAGGATGGCTAGAAATCCTCCCCAAAGTTAGCTGCTGCAGAGCCCCCTCCTGTGACTAAGCACCTCATAATCACATAGAGCTGGTCTCTTTTAATCCTTACAACAACCCGAGAGGGGTGCATCCACATTTGACAGCCGCCTGAAATGCTGAGGCTTATTCATGTTCTCCAGCACTGAGGGACAGCTCCAGGTGCTAGAAAGACTTCCAAAGCCCAAGCTTTTCCCATCATATCCAATGTCTCCAACCTCTGGGGCTCTTCCAGGGACCAGTAGCTTACTACCACACCTCTCGGGTCTCTCAAATCCCATCTAAGCCTATGCCATGCTATCCGGATCTGCCCTCCACACCCTCACCGGTCCATAGAGAGCTGGGCCACCAGGGTGACATCGTGGGGCCGGGGAGGTGGCGGCTGGTGGGGCAGGAAGGTGATGTGCACCCGATGCACAGTGAGCTGCTGTTGCCGGAACTCAAAGCAGGGTTCTTCCTCATCCAGCTGTGCCATGGCCTGTTGCAGCTGAGCAGGGTCCAAGGAAAGAATGAGCAGGCTGGTCCAGAACAGCATGGCCTCCAGCCAAAGACCACTTGAGTACAGAGGGCCAAGACCTCCCAAAGGCAAGGGGATATGGCCCCTCTTACCTGCTCCGCTTCAGCAGGGAGCTGGCTGGGGCAGCCAAAGAGCTCTCTCCGCAGCAGTTTCCCATCATATCCCAGGAAGGTCAAGTGCAGGTTTCGGAAGAATTCTGCATGCTTGTTCTTCACACGAAGCTTCTTTGGTGAATTCCAGTGGATCACCTGTGTTCCAGGTGAGCAGCAGGGATTTAGAATGGGGAGGGAGCAACAGTCCCCCACCCTGCCGTCCCCACTCACCTTGAGGTCAGCTGCTTCCAAGTAGCAGCGCTCGGCCAATGTGTGGTCTGACAACTGCACATTCCAGACACAGGGCAGGGGATGGACCAGCTCAGGGTGCTCCTTAATGACAGCATTGAAAACATCCTACACAGTGACAGACATCACAGTTCAGACCCCAGCCTGCCCCTCAGCTCTGCTCCCACAAAGAATCCTCCAGACCTGGTCAGCCAGAGACGTGGCCTGCAGAGTAAGGAGCTCCCGTTTGGCCATCAGCTTCCACATCTGCTCCCAGCCAGATTGCCGGAGCCTGTCCAGCTGCAGCAGGATCACACCTGCCAACCAGGAGAGAGGTTGCCATGCCCACCAGGGACATTCAGATCCCAAAGCTTTTGAAATATTTGTTTTGCAGTACTCGCAGGGAGCCCACACCCTCATACATCCAAGACAATCATCTATCAGGCCCTTTTTGAATTTCATTTCGAGGGACTGGAGAGATGGATCTATGTTTAAGAAGCGTGCTGTTTTTGAGAGGACGCCGTTTTGAGATTGCCAGAACCCACATGGTGACTCAGAACCCCCCTAACTCCAGTTTCAGAGGCTAGAATAGCCCCTTCTGACATCCACTGGGTCAGGCATGCATGCGGTGCACACACATACATACAGACAAAACTCCGATACACATAAAACAGATTTTCAAAACAATTATAATTTTCAAATAGGGTCTCACTAAGCTTCTCAGACTGGTCTCATACTTGCGATCTTCCTGCCTCGGCCTCCCAAAAACCTGGGATTACCAGCAACAACAGGCAGCACCATGCCAGGCTGCACGGTTCCCTGGTACAGGCCATCTGGCCAGCAACAGAAGGCATGCACTATGCATGGTGGATGAGGCTGTGAGGCCAAAGTCAACGCCTGGGCCAGGTATGAGGCTCAGTTGTAGAGCTTGCCTCTCGCACGTGAAAGCCTTGTTTAGAGCCCAGTATGGCATAAACCAGGTAGCACATATCTGTAATCCTAGCACCAGGGAGATAGAGGCAGGAGGATCATCCTCACATACATGAGTTCAAAGCCAGACTGGATTACATGAGTGCTAGTAAAAACTAAGATACAACCTAATAATTTTCCTATGCTTCTTCCATTCTCAGCTACACAAATGCTCGCCACTGTACTACAGTTGCCTGCCTGTCACTAAGCACTCAGTTCAGTAACGTGCCTTTCCTTCCCAGACCACACCACAGCCTCGAGAAGAGTGAGCTACTCCATCTGTGTGTGTAAATACACCCTCTGTGTGTGTGTAAATACACCTCCTGGTGTTTGTATAGCAATGAAATTGCCTAATGGCAAATCTCTCAGAACATGTCCAAATTGCTAACACGGAACTGTGTTCTCTGAGGGTTCCGACATAATCACCCATAATTCCCTTGGGTGGAGGAGGAGTAGAGCCCCTCCCAGCCATCCTCTCACAGCTGATATAGACCATGATATAGACCAGAAAGCAGAGTCTTGTTGGCCACAGTCATTTGGTACAAGCACGCAAAGTGGGAGGGTTCTCTTCATCCACAGCACTGGCGGAGGTCTTGGGGGCTTCCTAGCAGTCTGTGCCCTTCCCACCACTGAGGCTCAGCAGCCCACCCTACCCTGCTTCCCTCACCACTGCCCCCACCTGTGTTAAATCCCCTGCCCAAGGCAGGCCAAGGCTTATGGTTCTTCCAGAGGTTGCCCAGGTACCAGTCGCTCTGGTTCTCCACGAGACCGATCACCTGCTTGTCTGGGAGGGGAGGGCAGGAGGGAGATGCCTTGGGACATGGCTCAGGGCTAGTACACAACAGGGGCCTGGGCAGGTCGGGGAGGGGGCAGGCCAGGGCAGGGTTGCAGGCGCCTCACCGGAAAAGTGAACGAAGAGTGCCCACAGCTCGGCAATATCCGAGGAGAAAGTGACGTCAGTGTCCAGAACAACCACTCGGGCCAGGCTGAGAGGCAGGATGCTGGGAAGCACTAACTTCATTAGCCCATAGAGGCCAGAGTAGTGCTTATTGGGGATCCAGGAGATCCACGGCTGTGGGGGGTGGGGAGGAGGGACGACAGGGGGACCGACATACTCAGTGGCACAGTGGGAACCAGCCATGGTCCCTCCAAAAGGTGAAAGATTTGGGTTCCAGGAGGTTTGGTAGGACAGGGCCTCTCCTCTCTGGCCACCCACTGCTGGGGTAAGGAGAGAATGGGCCTAGCTGGGCAAGAGTGGGGTAGCAGGGGGGCGGGGAGCGGCCTCCTGCCTTGAGCTCTTCAGCGTCATAGAATCTGATGGTCACAGCCGGCACCATCCATGTTCGGAAGAGTGTCTCCAGGATGCTTCTGGCTACAGCATCAGTTACCAGGTGGAGGTGCAGAGGATTTTTCCTTTTGGGTGGAAAGAGTCAACGTAAGGCTGTGCAGGAACAACAGAGGATTCTCTCCACAGGAGGAGGCCGAGTCTCCTACAAGGAGTTCCTGAGGGTGTTCTGATACCCTGCCTCCAGCCTGCCCTCACCACCCTCAGGAAGGGGACTTCAGTTTCCTGGGATGAGGAAACAGAAGAGTGGTGTGGATTGTTTCGTTGTGGGTGGGCTCCTGACCCTCGTCCAGGGGGCCTGTCTGTACCTGTAGAATAGCACGGACTTCACAAGGGTGATGACCTCTCGGCTGGAGTTGTGTCCGGCACACACAATGGCCACATGCAACAGCTGGGAGGGAACACCTAGGTCAGAAGCGGCCCCCAACGTCTACCTGCCAGCGGAGCTAGCCTGGTCTAGAAGAGTGTATCCCCCACCAGACATCAGAACTGGGGAAAGGTTTGCTTAGAGGCATCGCCTCAATTTCACAAGTGGAGAAACGGAAGAGTGAAGGGGCGTCCTCAGGTGTCCCAGCTTGGTGGCCAGATGTCAGGTGCTTTGATTCTTGTAGATGCCCAGATGGCTGGGCTGGGGCCAGGAACCCTGGGGGTGGCAGCCACCAGAGGCCACGCGCACCTACCTCGCACTTGAGTGGCAGTAGAGGCTGCAGATCGGAGGTGGAGCGATTGCGGCTCCCGTATGGGTCTCCATCGAGGGTGGCAGTTGCCTGTAGTCCGTCTGAAAGGACACGTGGCATGAGCAGGCAGAAGGCACACTAGGTCCCCGCCTCGCCTGCCCAGCTCTCGGCGCTCACACTCGGGGTCTCGGCCGAACAGAAAGAAGCCAACCACTACCACCACCACCAGCAGCAGCGTGGCGGCCCCCAGTGCCCGGGGGCGCCCTCGGGGCAGCATGGCTGTCTGAGGGACTCAGGGCGGGGCACGACCTCGGGCAGCGGGCTCCATCACGGACCCTGCGGACCAAGACCAGAGGAGGGTCAGCGCTGGGTTGCGGGGCCCGACGGCTGCTCTCCCTGCCCGGGCATAGCCGCCTGTCTCACCTGCTCCAGAGGCTCCAAGAAGGCCTTGTTCCTCTTGCGACCGCCCGGTAGCGGGGACCGGGGCAGAGCTGCGAGTCAGCCCCGCCCCCAACCTGGGCTCAGGTTTCACCTTCGCTTGTCTGGACTGGAAGGGGCGGGGAGACCCTGGCAGGGTTCCGCCCTTGCCCCCCGTACCGGACAGCTCCGAAAACGGCCAGGAACCTATAACCCTCTTTTGCACCAAGGCATGGGAGGGCTGAAGGCCACTGGGACAGCTATCCAGGATGGCCCTGTGCCCGCTACCTGAACCCTCCTGGCTCTGAGACCCCATCCCTCCCCCTAAGGGGAAGGACCCGTGACCGGGAGCTCAGGATCAAAGGATTGGCCCGGTCACCGCGGGAGTCCAGGCGGAGGAGGGGGCGGGGAGTAATAGGAATGTCCGGAGACACCTGCTCCGGTCGGGGACTGGAGACTGGGCCTGCTAGGGACACCTGTAGCCTGAGCGTCCTCCCTGGCCCTTAGTCCAGGTGGACCAGCCCGGCCCAGCAGCGGACTGGAAAACATGGGCACTGCGCCCTTTTGAAGGCCGCTTCCCCTCCTGCACAAGAGCTGGCAGAGGGCCTCAATGCCGCCTGGGCAGGGCCGTGAATTCCCCCGCCCTTGCCTGGAGTGCGTTGATCGTGCCAGGCTCCAAGGCCTGGATCCCTTCCTCTTCCCTCCTCCACCCTTCAGCAGGCCTCTGGCCCTATAGGGGTGCGGGGAGCTCTGGGCTGTGAACGAGACCTGCCATGGTCCGTTGAACACGTCTTGAGTGCCAGGCCCTGAGCTAAGTATTTGCCAAGCCTTCACTCAGTTAATTCTCACACCGCCCCGAGGACACAAGACGAGATTGTCCCTGAGAGTGACAGGAACCTGCAGCCTTCGGCCATGGGCTGTGGCAGGCAGCACTAAACTGCGCCTGCACGGACTCCCAGAGGTCACTGCTTTCTCAGTCTTCCCTCCGGGGTTATTCACCTCAGGACCTGCCCCTGCCCCTCCTTCCCACGGAATGTGGATCTCTCCACGTCTCTTGCTTAACTTGCCAGCTCAAGGGAAGCTGAAGTTGCCTGTTCTGTGGGTCATCCCCCCCCCTCCCCAATTCCAGGTATTCAGTTTGTACAAAAACTGGACCTGCCCTCCAAGGACTCCACTAGGCCTCACCAGGAGCACAGGCTGGATCTTTGGTTCAAGATCAGCTGTCTAAAATGAGGCAGACCCATAAACAGCAGCCTGGGGATGGCTCCTCCCCTGGGTTATCGGAATGCCTTTCTCTGGGAGATCCGGGATCAGCCTGTGGGCCTTTGGAGGTTGCTATAGAAACCGAAAACTGCCTCTTGTACATGTAGGCATTAAGAGAAAACTCTTGTGTCCAGGCTTTGAATTCCAGTGCTTCGGCCTCATTGTCAGCCTAGAGTGAAGTTCGGGGTGGGGGAGTGGGGGGGGTGGAAGGGTCCCTCCCCATAACCCTCAACAGAGAGGCTGTAGGAGCTCCAAGTGTGTAGGAGCAGATAGGGTCACAGGCAGAGCCTAGACCAAGCTAAGTCTTCCATAAAGAGGTGTGAGTTAGTGGACACATTGTCATCTCTCATCATGGTGACCCTGTCTCAGCCTCAGCACTGTGGGTAGGTAAATGAACGGAAGTGTCTGCTGGACCCTCAAGAAGCCCTTTGGAGCCTTCGGAGGAAAGTGAGACACAAGTGAGTCTAGTCCCCTGGAGCTGAGCCTCCATTTGAGCCAGATCTGCTCAGGACTTTATTTTGTGAACTTGGATTGTCCAACACCCTCCCTGGGTCTCTGGTGTCCTCATCTGTGCCTGTCCAGCTGGTCTTTCTTCTCCTGTGACTTGGGACAGACAAAAGGAGAGAGGATCCAGACCAATTTCTCCAGAGGCCTTTGCAGCCCAGCCTTGCTGCCAGGTCCAGGCAGGAATCCAGCAGGGAGGAGCCTCCTTCCTAGCTGCCAAGCTTGCACAGGCCTCGGCTCTAATCAGGCTCCAGATCTAGAGAGGAAATTCAGGCATCCCTGCCGGCTGCTGACCTGGCAGGGCCCAGCGCCCTGCACTGGAGAGAAAGACCCTTCACCATCTGGAAGTGAAGGGGAGGTGGTGTACCACCGTCCTCAGGGGCTCTCCTTCCTCCCCAAAACAAAAGGCCATCTGATAAAATCTTGCACACCTGTATTCACCTGCATGTACACACAAGTACAAACACACACACACACACATAAACTCACTCCAGCTGCAGCAGAGGGCTGTAGAGGAATGGCCCAAAAGGCAGTAAAGTCACTAAGTTCCTGAGCCTAGATTTTAGCCAGGCCTGTCTCATCATGTCTCAGCTCATGCTGAGCTAGACAGTGCTGCCAAAGGCCTTTTGGTCAGGGCCTCGCCGTGATCTGGGACAAGTAGTCGGGCCTCCTTGGGCCTTATCTGTGGGCAAGCGTTCCTATCAATCTGACGAGGTTGATGTATTAGTTGCTTTTCTCACAACTGTGACAAAATCAACCCTTGGCAGAAGCAAGCTTAAGGGGGGATTTATTTGGGCTCACAGCTTGAGGGTATAATCCATCATAGTGGGCAGCAGTGGTTTCGGAAGCCTGAGGTTGCCAGCCAAGCTGTAATCCACAGTCAGGAGATGGAGAAAGATGCAGGCTAGTGCCCAGGTTGCTTTCTCTTTTATTCAGTTTCAGGACTCCAACACAGAGAAGGAGGAGACAAGCATCCAGGCTGGGTTCTCTCAACTGCAGGCACACCATGGACACACTCAGAGGTTCGTTTCTACACGATTCTAAACCCACCAAGTGGACACTGAAGATGGACCAAGCGAAACCGCCAGCAGGGCGGGGAGTATGTGGGGCACTCGGGATGGGTGAGGAACCACTTCCACGGTGCCCGTACCATGGACTCTTCTGAGGTTCAGAGCACCTCTCCCTGAGTTTTTGTTGGCAGGCATTGGCTCCACATAGACAAAGAAAAGGAAGGAAGGAAGTGGGCATGGCTGTGGCTTCTTGGTGAGTATGGTGCTTAAAGCACCACAGAGCCCAGCTCCGGCTCAGACTAAAGCAGCATTCCAATCAGGACTAGACATAGTACGCACTCTTTTAAAAGAGATTTATTTGTTATATATACAGCATGTTTGCCTGCACACCAGAAGAGGGCATCAGACCTCATTACAGATGGTTGTCAGCCACCATGTGGTTGCTGGGAATTGAACCCAGGACCTCTGGAAAAGCAGTCAGCCAGTGCTCTCAACCTCTGAGCCATCTCTCCAGCCCAGTAGGCACTTTAAAAAAAATGATTTTAGTTTAATTTTTTAAAACGAAGTCTTACTCTAGCTAAGGCTAACCTAAAACTTGCTACACGGGCAAGGCTGGTTTTGTACTTGCAGTGCCTCCCCAGTGCTGGAATTCCTTACAGGAATGTGCCACCATGACCAGCGCTTTATTTTAGGACTTACTGCATTTTATGTATATGACTTTGGCCTGCATGTCTTTCTGTACACCCACATGTGTGCCTGCCATGTGCTTACAGAGATCATAAGAAGGTATCGAATCATCTAAAACTGGAATTACAGATGGTTATGAGCCACCATGTGGGTGCCGGGGACCAAACCCAAGTCCTCTGCAAGAACAAGTGCTCTTTAACTCCAAGCCCTCTATCCAGTACCACACCCAGCTTTTTTTTTTTTATTTAAATTGTCTTTGTTTTTGTTTTTCGAGACTGAGTTTCTTCGTATAACAGTCTTGGCTGCCTTGGAACTCGCTCTGTAGACCAGACTGGCCTCTGCCTCCCGAGGGCTGGGATCAAAGGCATGCACAGCCACCACCCTGCATTTAAAAGATTCTTAAGTGAGCATTTCTTAAACCCTGAGCCATCTCTCTAGCTCCTTTATGAACATTTTTATTTGTGTTTATTAATTGTACAAAACAATGAGCTTCGTCTATCATGATGGCACGGGTCTTTAAAAATCCCAGCATTTATAGGAAGCCGAAGTAGGCAGATCTCTGAATTTGAGGCCAGCCAAACAAGGGTACATTGTGAGACCTTGTCTCAAAACAAACCAACCAAAATCATGAACTTTATGATGACATTTCCGTACATGCTTGTAATATACTGGATGGGCTTATTGGGAAGATAATACCCGGTATAGTACTAAACAAACGCATTACATACTCAACGGATACCATAAATTTGCGGGCGGAGTCCACAATGGCGCAGAGTTGCCACGCCCCCTCTGCCCACAGCCAATCAGCTGCCTCCCCGGAGCCGTTCCCTCCCTCCACTTCTGCTGCGCCTTGACTTTAGCAGCTTTGTTGCTGGGTTCAGGAGTAGATCCCTAGGTGTTACCCCCCTAACCCTTGGGGCTCAGCTGAGAGCCAGGAGATACATCCAAGGGCCAGAAAACGCTGACATTTGTTCCGAGTTCAAGGTCCAAGTCGGCCCCAAATAATTTTGTATATGGGAAATTGAGGTGCAGATAAGGGAAGCGTATGCACAGGTTCATCCTAAGTGGAGAGCAGAAGGCTAAGCCAGGGTATTCTCCGCCAAAGTAGTCATCCGGCTACGGCTTTTGGGGGTCCACCCTGGAGGAGCTGGAGCCGAAGCCACGGCACTAAATCTGCTGGCTAGGTTTGCCTCAGTTTTCCCGGCACTGGCTTTTGTGGGGAACTGGAAACTGGCGGTTGCTGGGACCCATTTACGTCAGTTTCGAGGTTCCTTGCACCTTAAATCCCAAGTCCTTTGCTGTCCTGCCCTCCCGCTCGAGCCTCTCGGCGATCTTCTGGGAAAGTCTGAGACTTCGTGTTCCCTTCTCTAGAATGAACTGTTCAGCCTGCAACCAAGCTGCAACTGCGCAGGCGCCAAAACAGCCAACCAAGAAGGCTGAAGAGTGGACGCCAGAGGCTTCAGGGCGGAGAGTGAGGGAGCCAATGGTTGGAAGGAGGAAGGGTGGGCGCTCACGGTCACTAGGAGGAGGTGCTAGAGATGGGGGCGTCTAGCTAGCCCTGGGCTGCGGAAGTGGAGCGACTGGGAGGCGGGCTTAGGGCCGGAAGCAGGAAGGAGGGCGCAGGACGCAGGGCGCCGCGCCAGCTGTGCTGTCCGCCGGTGGAACTGTCTGTGGCTGGAGCAGGATGGAGAAGCTGCGGCTTCTGGGCCTCCGCTACCAGGAGTACGTGACTCGTCACCCAGCCGCCACGGCCCAGCTGGAGACTGCAGTGCGGGGCCTCAGTTACCTGCTGGCAGGTGCCACGCTGACCTTTGACCCATTTCTTCGGGCCCCTGACCCTTGACTCCTAAGGCCCTCTCCCTGCGGACTCAGGGTAGTGGTCACTGTGTTTGAGTTCCTGTGGCATATAGGAAGTTGAGGGACCCAGAGCTGCAGGGTGAAACAAACGCTCACCAACGCCTCCTGTACCTTCTTCCCCAGGTCGCTTCTCCGATTCACATGAGCTGTCTGAGTTGGGTGAGTTGGGCTCTGGACTGGGAAGGAGGAAGGCTTCCAGAGGGCCTGGACTGCCCTTTAGATTGATGTACCAGGCTCAGTCAGACAAGTTCAACTGTGCAGGACCCTTGGTGTTCCTTCCGAGTTGGGAGACCTTTGAGGGAGGACCTTGACAAGCTATTTACTCCTGGTTTGGCTCAGGATTAAACAACTCTTCTGTCCTTGCTGGATCACCCATTTTCTGAGTATGCGGAGGCACTGTTGTTCTGTCCAGTGGAGGAAATAAAAGGTCACCGAGGCAGGGGAATAGTCCATGATGGCAGGCTACATTCAAATGCCACAATCCCCATACTATAAATGCCTCAGCCATGTTTGCTTAGTTTGGGGGAAGTGATGGCCATGAAAGGATGAGGTAGATTAAAAGGTAGTTGTGATGTAGACCTTCAGGGGGACAGGACAGTCTGCAGAGAGAGCAAAGGGGAGAGGTGGGGCCGCACACTTGGCTCTTCTAAATAGCTCAGGAGCCAGCCCTGTTCAGCAGAGCAAGGGCTAGCTTGTCTCTGCAATCAGATCGTTGTTATTATTGGTTCAGATGTCAACCTCAGGAGAGCAGGGCTCTAAGTGGGAGAAGAGGCATGCTGGTTTCCACACAGTCTGTGGGTAACTGAGTAGACTTGTGACCGGTGATCCCTAGAGCTCTGGGGTAAAGGTGAGGGGTGAAGGCCACACCAGAGCCGGCCTCTCAGGCCCACGCTCTGCTTCTCAGTCTACTCCGCCTCTAACCTGCTTGTGCTGCTCAATGACGGGATACTTCGGAAGGAGCTGCGAAGAAAGCTGCCTGTGGTGAGGATTCTGCCGGGAGCCGCGTGTGGGAGCTCGGGGGCTTGGGAAGAAGGCGGTAATGAGCAGCAGGCGTGTGGCACATGTTGCAGTCTCAGAGTGTGGGACATGCCGGTGCCCCTGACCGTCAGTTCTCCCTGTCTCACACAGCCAGCCTGTTAGCAGTGCATGGTGTCTGAACTTAGGTGTTAGGCTTGGAAAGTGGGAAGCCCCCTGTCCCCACCCCTTGCAGAGAGGCCCTCTTTCTCCAGGACAGCGCTTGGGGCTAGGGGAGCCCCTGACCTCTGGGCTTCTTGCAGTCGCTGTCCCAGCAGAAGCTGCTGACATGGCTGAGCGTGCTGGAGTGTGTGGAGGTGTTCATGGAGATGGGGGCTGCCAAGGTGTGGGGTGAAGTTGGCCGTTGGCTAGTCATCGCTCTCATCCAGCTGGCCAAGTAGGTTGGGTTGTGGAGGGCAGGACTCAGGTGGGGTGACCGAGGCCAGCTTTGAGCGTGCTCAGTGGAGCAGCCCTGCTGCCCGCTTCTAGCTGCCTCCCTCTATCTGTGCTGTCCTTCTCAACTCAGGGCTGTCCTGCGCATGTTCCTGCTCATCTGGTTCAAGGCTGGCATTCAGACCTCACCCCCCATTGTTCCGCTGGACAGGGAGGCTCGGGCACAGCCATTGGGTAAGCTGCCCCTCTGCCCTGAAGTGGAATGGGACACGGGACTGCTCTGTGGATTTGCAGCATATTTCCCATGAGCTCAGCACCCATTATTCTGTAAGAAAGAACAAGAAAGACAGGTTTGGAGAAAATCAGAACTTGAACTTGGGAGTTTTATTTTTTCTGATCCTAAAGATCACACCCAGAGCCTTGGGCATGCGAGGCAAGTACTCTTCCACTGAGCTACACTTCCATCCCTGAGCCTGAGCTTGTGGTACCAGAATCTTCCTTCTGTCTTTTGGGCTTCAGGAACTAGGACGAAGTAGGTGTCCTGCCAACATTGTCTCTGGGCCTGGTTCTGTATCATGAACCTCAGGCTCAAGAGTCAGGGTACCCGGCTGCTTTGGGCCTGGTTCTGTATCATGAACCTCAGGCTCACGAGTCAGGGTACCCGGCTGCTATGGCTCCTCTGTCAGCCTTGTCTCTTCTCTCCTTGAGTGGGGACAGTGCTGGGGCTCCCACCTGAGCGTGTTGACAGCAGAGGATTGAGGCAATGTGGCCTCATGGTCCCATAGCTCCAGTAGTTACGGTTGGGCTGGGCCTTCCCTTTTTTCCTCTGGGTTCTTGTTTGCCTGTGCCAGGGTAGGTTCCAGAATGCTTCCCTCTGTGGAAAGGTTTCTTGCTGAACCACATTCCCTGGGTGCAACTACTGCCTCAGGACAGGCTCTTGTGTTCTCCAGGTAGCTCCTCAGGCATTCACATGTTCTCTGTGGGCTCTGTTAGGAATGTGTCCCTCTTACTCCGTGTTCTGTCTCTACCTGCTAGATGCTGATCACAAGCCAGGCAGCCAGGAGCCATCCTATGTGGGGAAACGGTCAAACAGAGTGGTGCGGACCCTCCAGAGCAGTAAGTGCAAGATGTCGCTGGGCTGGGCACCCGGGTGCTGAGGTCTTGTGGGCCTGAGGGACTGGGCTCCCAGGTGCTGAGGTCATGTGGGCCTGAGGGACTGGGCATCTGGGTGCTGAAGTCAGTGTGGGCCTGAGGGACTGGCTCCTGCCAGCATTCACATCAGCTCCTGCTTCACCTGTCTGTCCTTATATTCTAGGCCCATCCCTGCACACACGACACTGGGGAGCCCCCCAGCAGTGGGAAATTCGCCAGAAACAGCAGCAGGAGGAACTGAGCACACCCCCAACATCTCTGGGGCTGCAGGAGACCATTGCAGAGTCTCTGTATATTGCCCGACCCCTACTGCACTGTATCCTTAGCTGTGCTGGAGGTGGGTTGGGGAGGAGCCGGGCTGGAGCATGCACTGGAGACATCCTTGACACCTTGACTGTCAGTGCTCAGTCTAGGCTTCTGGGGTCAGCGGTCATGGACACCCTGGCTACTATCTGGTGTGGTGGATATGACTAGGTGAGCATCAGCAGGGACTCCATTCCTCCCGTGGGCTCTCTGCGTGCCGTTTGGCTGTCCCTCTCAGGGACAGAGGCCATCCTTGTTCCTATGTCCCTGGCCCACAGCCTGAGTCTCCTGAGTAACAGAAAGAGCCTGACTCGAAGGGAGCAGCTCGAGCTAAGGCGCCGCACAATCCTGCTGCTGTACTACCTGCTGCGCTCGCCCTTCTACGACCGCTTCTCTGAGTAAGGCGCCCTCCTCACCTCCCTTCCCTCCCCTCGTATCAGCAGGGCTGTCCATGCTGCACGGAGAGGGCTGGGCTCAGCTGAATCCTGGCTGCTTCCGGAGCTGTCCAGGATGCAGCCACCAGAGCCGCTGCAGCATCAGGCCAGTGTGAGCTTCTGTGCTTGTTGGCCAGAGAAGCCACCGTTGAGGCAGGCTGCCTATCTCCAGCTCTTTGCACCATAGGCCGTCCGTTTTCAAAGGGGCCCAGCTAGACTGTCACTGCTGGGCCCATCCCACACCGACACCTGTGAGGTCTCAAAGCCTCTGCCTTAGTCAGAGAAATCTTTCAAAAAGGCCTGCAAGGGTACCTATGATCTGTGGTGGAGTTTCTGAGCAGGAGCGGGGCTGTAAGACTTATGGGCTCAGTTCCTCACCTGTAGAGTGGAGATAGTGATGGCACCCATTTGCAGGGCTCAAATAGGGGTCAGGTGTTTGGCCATGCTTGGTATGTAATGAGCATGTGATAAATATTAGGTCTTTTTTTTCACCAGTGTTTGCTAGTGATCAAGCCTAAGGCTTCAAACATGCTAAGCAAGTATTATACCCTGAACCACACCTTCACCCCATACATGTTCTTTCACTGTTCCCAGCATCATTATGTCCCACCCAAGTCCCATATGGAAAGTCCCATATCTTAAACAACAAGCATCTTGAGCCAAGGGGGACCCTTCTTAGGCCTGCTGCTCTGACCACTGTAGCTCAGCTCTCCTGCCAGTTTACCTCCCCAGAAACCTCCAGGGCGCAGGCCGTGCTACCAAGTGGCCTTAGGAAGGAAGCTCTGTTTGTTGTTGAATGCAAAGGTCCAAAGAGGGTAAATGAGGCAGCAAAGGGGAGGGGGAGTGTTGTGCTGGTGCCGACTGACGGGTGGACAGAGCCGTGAGCACGGGTGCAGCTGTAGATAGGTTAGTGCCAGCGATCAGGCCTTGTACTGGAGTCTGTCTAGCCCATTTTCTGAAGTGCCTGGTGGTCAGAAGAGGTCTTCAGCTCCTGATGTGCAGGAATCCACCCCACCCCCACCATGCTGTTTCTCTTTCCTGTCCAGAGCCAAGATCCTCTTCCTACTCCAGCTCCTTGCAGATCATATCCCTGGTGTTGGCCTGGTAGCAAGTAAGTGGATGGACGGCGTGGGTGTAGAATGTCCCCAAGTGGAGAGTAAGTGGGTGAACAGCGTGGGTGTAGAGTGTCCCCGAGTGGAGAGTCAGTGTGGGTGGACGGTGTGGGTGTAGTGTCCCCGAGTGGAGAGTGATTGGGTGGACAGCGTGGGTGTAGAGTGTCCCCGAGTGGAGAGTGAGTGGGTGGACGGCGTGGGTGTAGAGTGTCCCCGTGTGGAGAGTCACTGTGGTTGGACGGCATGGGTGTAGAGTGTCCCCATGTGGAGAGTCACTGTGGGTGGACAGCGTGGGTGTAGAGTGTCCCCGAGTGGAGAGTCAGTTTGGGTGGACGGCGTGGGTGTAGAGTGTCCCTGGGGCACAAACAGCCCCATCTTGCTGTGTGCTCTGTCTCCTTTTGGTTTGATTATTGGACAGTCAAGAGTGAAACCTAAATCAGTACTGGGAGGTGACAGACAGCTCCGGGGCCTAAGTTCACCGGCAGAAGTGGGAAGGCAGCTGTGTCTGTGTGTAGGATTATTAGGCCATGGCAGGTGGCAAGCCCTCTTCTGCCTCTGTGACCTGAATTATAGAAGACAGGCAAGGAGGGGCCTTGGGGCCTGCTGAGTACCTGACTATAAAAACGACCTGCTGCTCACGCCCCCGGCTCCCCTGAAACCAGGGGTCCTTTGTCTGTGAACTTCATCTCCATCATCGTGGCTGAGGCAGGAGACACAGCTGCTGTGCTGGTGGCAGTGCCAAGGGGCCTGGCTTGGCCCTAAGTCCTCCTTCTCCTTGCAGGGCCGCTCATGGACTATCTGCCCTCCTGGCAGAAGATATATTTCTACAGTTGGGGCTGACCGACACGCAGGAGTGGGTCGAGTGGCCGTGTGGTGTGCTCTGTTGCTCTGGGCCTGCCGCAACCCTCCAGTCCCCCAGGTCCCTCTTCTCTAATAAAACTGACTCTGGTCGTGTCCCAGCATGTGGCTTTGTGTCCAGCAGTCAGCACCTGCCCTGGCAGGTCTTTTTCAGCCCTGATCACCACACTGTTCCTTTCCACGCCTTCCTAATATGGAGCACTGCAGCCGGCTCCTTATCAGTGGGCAGGGAGCCTCCTTCAGGTCCGGGGCAGCTTCATCTTGGCATAGCAGACTGACTTAGCCTCCTCCGGCATGGGTCATGATTTGCCTCAACTGCGTGACTAGATGCTTCTTTCTCACTGGCCCCTGGTGAAGACAAGTGAAGGAAGCTAGGCCACGGATGACCACGGTCTAATAAGCTTTCTAGGCAGGACCTGTTTCCCCTTTCACTACAGGGCTAAACAAGCCCAGCCATGCTCCCCAGGAGAAGCTCTTCTCCGTGGCAGAAGTCAGCTCTGCCGGGACTGGGATGGACAGAGTGCAAACTGAGTTTGTAGGAAAATGAGCAGTTGCTGTGTGTGCTGGAGTTCCCTGGCTGCCTCTCCCAGCAGGCTGGCTCTGGAGCTAGGCAGGCTGTGGTGGAGAAAAGGGGGCCTGAACTTTACTGTCCTCAGTGTTTGTCCTCCCCCTCTTCCTTTGTCCCTTTCTGTCTCTTAGACAAAAGTCTCACTGGCCTCAAACTCATAGCCGTCTCAGTGTGCGACTAGAGAGTAAGCTGTCACACCTACCTTGTTCCTGTCCTTCCTAGCAGGTCTCTTGACTTTGGAGAACACTGCACCTCTCCTTCAGGCTCCTCCTCCACTGTGCTCTCATAGCCCAGCTCAAGTGGACATGCTTGCCGTGTGATGCTGAGAAACACAGCCCTGGGCTCTGTGCGGGAGCAGTAGAAAGGGCAGCCCATCAACTTGTGGACTCCAAAACTAACCCTCTGCACAGCCTCACAAGCATCCTGAGTACCTACACTAGCAGACTCTGGCGCCATACAGCACATGGTCCCTGCCTTGCAGGCCCTAACTACCAGGTACATCCCTGTACACACTACACTGAGATCGTGAAGATGGAGGTGGTGTTGCCTCTGGCAGTGATGGCAAAGAAGGAAACCTTCCAGCAGCTTGTGAAACGCAAATCCAGTAGCGGTTTTGTCAGGTTGGAGCTGGATAGAGACTACCCACCAGGCCACACCCCTCACCCAGAACTTCAGTTTCCTGCCTGCAGCTGGGGCAGGGTCTTGGAGCACAACCCTCAAGTGCCATGCAGCAGGGACATGAGGAATGGATGGTATGAGGCCCAGGGAACAGTCTGGTGGGCAGAGATGAAAGGGTGGGGAACGTCTGCGGGGATGTGGGAGAGGCTCAATCAAGGTAGTGGGGCAGGGGATGAATGACGCAGCAGACCATGGGGACTGTGGGTAGGGAGGAATATGGTGGCGTCCAGGAGTCAAGAGTGAGCATATGGGATTCCAGGTCCCTAGAACTGAGGACGGGAGGTATCCTGGCAGGGCTGCAATACTGAAGCAGTTGTATGGGACAAGAGTCTGGCCTGGCGGTGGTAGACACATCTTTGATCCCAGCACTTGAGAGGCAGAGGTGGAGGCAGACAGATCTCTGAGTTCACAGCCAGCCTGGTCTACAAAGTGGGTTCCAGGATGGCCAAGGCTGAGAAACCCTGTCTCCAATCCTAGCACTCTGGGAGGCAGAGGTAGACAGACCCCAGTGAGTTCAAGGCCATCCTGGTCTACAGAGCAAGTCCCAGGACAGCTAGGACTGTTGACACAGAGAAACCCTGTCTTGAGAAACAGTCTTCTCCAGGAAGAGAGGTAGTACTGGCGCTGAGCCCTGGAACTAATGTCCTTTGTGAGGTGGCCCTGAGAATTGGCACCAAGTTCCGTCCTGCTGGGGGAGGGGCAGGCAGAAGCCACAGTAGGGACTGTATACAGGAGATGGTTCTCGCCATGCTGGGGGCTCTGTACCCCAGGGCTGGGCTCAGTCTCTTCCTTTTTTACCTCATCCTGGCAGGCGCACTCCTTCGACCTCAGCCCCAGAGGTAAGGCCAGAACCTCAGGGCCTAGAAGACTCTGGGTGAGGCTGACCGTCTTCCTGGGAAGGGTTAGTTTATCAAGTTTTCACACTGGGCTATAGCACAAACCAAAGTGGCAATGGCCTTTGGTGCCAGGGCTCGGCTCAGCACAGCGACGTTTCCTGTAGGTCTCAGCGATCTGTCCCTGAGGAATTTTCAGCCCCGCTGGAACTCCTGCAGCCGCTCTCAGACCTAGTGGATGGTAGTATTTCTCTCTCCTCTCCCACCCTCCACAGCTGATGCCCCTAGAACGCCCCTAGGGTCAAGCCCTGTGTCTCCTACTCCCAGACTGCGACCTCGGAGCTCATGACAACCCCATTCCAAGTCAGGAGCTCCTCCCTCCACCATTATCCTCTTCTCTCTGTAGACTATGGGATCAGACCCAAGCACCCTTGGCCACGAGGGCCCCGACCCCTTCTCTCACAGGCCCAGCAGCGCAAGCGGGACGGGCCCAACATGGCTGACTATTACTATGACGTGAACCTGTGATAGGAACCCGCATAAAGCTATTCTGGGCAGCAAATGCTTGGCTTGCTAGCCTGTGTGTGACGAGAAGGCCCAGCAGGGGTCCAAGTAAATACACCCACTGTGATCCAGACAGGAAATGGCACTTTAATGGTGGTCTCCAGGTGACAAGACAGCATGGGATTGGCTGGGGCCAGCTGAGAGACTGCCTTTCTCTGCCAGGCAGGGCTTGCTGTAACCTCTCCTTCCTAGCGCACAGAAGCAGGCCAAGACCAGCAAGCTGGCCAGGCTGGAGGTCAGAGCTGCCTGGAGGCCCCACGATGCCAGCTGAGAACAGGGTCTTTGCTGTCCTGTATGTCATTTCCTTACTGGAAAGTCCTTGGGAGGCGGCTGGGCTCAGCCTGAGTTCAGGGCTCTAGGTGAGGTGGGAACAGGAAGATGGGCACTTCCAGGTGGAACGGGCCTTGTCAAGGCAGGAGCCAAGTGCCAAAGAAGCCACAGTCCCTGGCATGAAACAAGGCCCAGGGCAGGGCAGTACCTCTGTTTCTAGGGGATTCCTTTGTGGTCAGAGGCCTGACCTCCCAGCCCCATCCTTTCCCAGCCCCCAGAGAGCCTGTACTGTCCTCCATAGATGAATCTAACCCCATATATTACAATAAACTGCATCTGCCTCTCCCCACCCCCGTCCCACCCCCAAACAGCCCTCATTTCCCCATTCTCTTGTGGAAGTGCCACGTCTTGTCCGTAGCCAGCTGTCCTAGTACTGGCCTGGGGCTGGGGGCTGCAGAGGGTGGGGGCGCCGCTACTCCAGGTAGATGTCTTCTGTAGGACAGGTGTACTCCACAAACTGCTTGTAGAACTGGTGAAATGCACGCCTGGAAAATGGGGGACAGCTGGGGTGACCAGGGCCTCAACCCAGGTTCTCCCAAAGGCACTTTAGAATTCCAGGGCAGTGTAGCTCTGTGCTCTGGGCAGTCATCTCCCAGAGAGGAACAGGCAGCTAACTAACAAGGAAGTGCCCCAGACCCTGGGCTTCTCAGGACCTCCCAGCCTCTTCCAGGACAGGGTGACAATGGCACTGCACAGGAGAAAATACCAGGGCTGTGACAGGACACATTACCTGGGCAGACCCTTACCAACACACACACACTTACCCCACAGACTCTGCCAGGGCTGTGACAGGGCACATTACCTGGGCAGATCCTTACCAACACACACACACTTACCCCACAGACTCTGCCAGGGCTGTGACAGGGCACATTACCTGGGCAGACCCTTACCAACACACACACACTTACCCCACAGACTCTGCCAGGGCTGTGACAGGGCACATTACCTGGGCAGACCCTTACCAACACACACACACTTACCCCACAGACTCTGCCAGGGCTGTGACAGGGCACATTACCTGGGCAGACCCTTACCAACACACACACTTACCCCACAGACTCTGCCAGGGCTTTGGTGGAATCTTCGGACACAAAGACATGGCAGGCAAACCGGTGATCAGCAGGGTGCTTGGTGATGAACCCAAAGTACCTGTGGGAAGGTAGGCATGTGTGAGACAGAATTCTTACCCTTACCCCCAAGGGCCCAAGCCTAGCAGTGGGGCTCTTCTGTCTGCCTCTCCCACTTACTTGTTGTTCTTTGGATGGTATCCACAGAAAGAGATGTTTTTTAGCTGGAAAAAGTGGCTACATTTATTTCCCTACAGGAGGGACAAGAGAAACAAGACAGTCAGCTTGCAGGGGAAGCAGGCAGGAGGGGCAAATAAGGAAAAGGTGGGCACACGGGGAGGGGAGAAGCATGTGGGGCAAAGGGCTGGCTGGGGCTTGAAGGAAGTCACCTTGGCCTCCTGAGCATCATCGGCTTTGACACCTATCTTGACACCCCTGACACTGATCTCAAGGACACAGCTGGAGGGTGGGTTAAAGTGCACGGTGAGCCGGCGGGTGGTGGCAATCTGCACGAGGGACAGAAACACAGGGAAGCTCTGTGTTTCTCTCTGGATCCCTCACATCACAGCACCGCCTCCAGACCCCTGTCCTTTTCCCCAGCAGAGGGGACTGGCTGAGGATCAGCATCCCCAGGAAAAAGCAAGGAGTCAGATTTGGGTACCTTTTGCATAGCAGCACAGAGGACATCATTGCCCTTGTGATAAGGAACCTGGACGGAGCCCAGGAACTTCACCCGGAATTGGTCAGTCCAGTCGCTGTTTTTGGCAAGGGCTGGAAAGCAACCATACAATAAGAGAACCTCAGCATGGGGCTCAGAGCCAAGCCAAGATGGGAGAGTGCAGCCTGTGGGGCAGCGGGGGTGCTACTTGGCAGAACTGAAATGACCTCTGCCCGCCTCCCTGGTTAGCTAAGACCTGGGGTGCGTGTTCACTAGCAGCCAAGTTTGGTGGAGAGATGCAGGGGTGGGTGGGACCAAACTGGAGGGAAGTACTACCTGCCATGTGCTCGGGCTCCTTGGTGACCTCAATGGCATAGTAGGCAGGAAACACACCTCGGGCTCCTGTGCGCATGTTATAGGCCTCATACCAATAGTCTTCTGCCTGCAGCTCCACCAGCAGAGGGTCATCCACTTCTAGCTCAAGTTCGTCTTCATGTCGAGGAACAAACCTGTCCCCAAGGGCATGTGGTACTGATCATCGGGGTTCTTTAGCCAGACCCAGCCTGGGACCCTGAGCCGTTGACATTTGCAAAATGCCCATGTGCCTGACACAATGCGGCCCCCCAGGGACACATGGCACTCAGATAGGCATCTGCTACCCAGGACTTCAGAGGCCAGGGAGGAAGGGAAGATGGGGCACAGGTTCTATGCAGGGCAGGCAGCTCTGGCCCCTAACCAGGTTCAGCGCACAGATCCAGATTCCTCATAACACCTCATCATTTTGTCTCTAAGCTGAGTTCCTACAAGGGCATACTGTCCCCCAGCAGCTGAGGGGATGCCAATGATGGGCTGGCAAAGGCATGGAAGGGGCAGCCCTCACCTGAATATGGCCCGATGGGATTGCTCATGCTCCTCCCCGTTGATGACACAGGAGAACAGCCCAAAGGACTCGGCACCTGTAGGAAGTCATAGGCTGGAGGAGATGGCCTCGGCTTAGGGCAAGTAGAAAGCTCTGGCCTGCTCTCAGACAGACTGTGTGCCATCTCAACTTTCCCTGGCCAGAGCCCCCACCATCCCCTGCTCACTGACTCACTGGAGGAGCGAGAGCGGCCGCTCATGAAGACGTTCAGAAACTTCTTCGAGAAGTGGACATCAGGCTCATCTGGCGTGGAGTCCTCTGAGAGGCAGGCGGGCGGCCGGGGCTGAGGAGCCTCCTCATACTCCTCCCCAATGGCTGATTCGTAGGGCGAGGACGCAGAGGCACAGTTGTCATACACGGTGGCGGAGTCGCTCTCGTCGCTGTAGTCTCCGAAGCATGGCCGCAGGCTTACCAGCTCAAGCTGCGCATGCTCATCCACCACCAGCGTGTACTTGACCGAGTCGTAGGACAGGGCGCTGGTGTCCGAGCTCAGTGAGGCCCGTGGAGGCGGGGGTGGCTCCCGAAGGCTTTCCCGCCACCCTCCTTGTGGCTCTGCTCGCTCTGGGGACGACAGGCAGTCGAAGCCCTCATCCTCTTCACTGATGGAGGGGTGTGGCCGTCCTGCAGTTGCCGAGTAAACTGCTGGGTCTGGATCCGAGCTGACAGACATCCGGCTCTCCGTGGGTGGCAGGAAGGAGGAGGTGGGCTCTGCAGGGTCTGGGGGCCTCTGCACTGGGGTCAGGTAGATCTCCTCAGTTGCCTCTAGCCGCACGTCTGCCTGATAGTGGATTCGGTCTCGATGGGAGTGGCCCCGGCCACTGGGTGCAGTGGCAGGAGGACCATTCGGAGGTGCCATCTGAGTGGCGGCGCTGCGGCGGCAAGGGCTGTCGGTGGAGGTGCCTCGATCCTTGGTGGGAAGAGGACTGCTCTGGGGTGGCAGTTCATCACTCAGGCAGATGTGTTCATGTGGCGGTGTCTGCTCCCCTACAGGACAGACAAGTTGGTACTGAGAGCCGGACCCACTCCAGACACCTGTCCCTCCTCTTCCCTCTGCAGCCAGTCTCTGGCTCCCGGGTGACCTCACTCAGCCCAGGTGGGCCAGGTGAGGACCGCTGGGTCTCTAGCTCAGGCAGAAGCCTCACTTACCTGTCTTGAGAGGGGAGGATGATCGAGACACACGGTCCTGCCAACTGTGCTTTTTGCCTAAAGAATTATTGTTCAGCGTGTCCTGTGCAGAGGACAAAGGGCTCTTATGAAGAGGCAGCCAGCAGTGCCCGGCACTGGGAGGTCCTGGGCCTGCCCCCATCAGGCCACCCCATCTGGCCTTGCCCAAGGCCTCTCTGCCAATCTCCCCCTGTAGCAGGCAGGATGGGAAATTACCGCCCTCCCCCAGGCCTGCTGGCTTGGAGACAACCCTCAAGAGATGCAGTAGTGGTGCTGGCCAGTGTGGGTGCTGAGGAGAGGATGCGGTGTTGTGGGGGAGAGTCAGACAGCAGCCCCAGACACTGAGGGAAGCCATGTTCTGATGCTCAAACCCAGCCTGGTGAAGGACAGGGTGACGGACTCAGAAACCTGGGGTCCAGCAAAGTGGTGGGTGCAGTCTGGCACAAAGAAGGGTCTCCCCAGAAGCTGGCCTGTGGGCCTGGATGAATCACTCGAACCATGACTCCATAGCACTCACCCCCACTTCACCCCACGTGACTAAGGAATGGCAGTCCTACTTCCTGGATCTCCCAGAATGCTCACACATCCCACATCCTTAGCCTCCTGGGACCCCTGAGCAGGGCTCTCCACACACAACTTGGGCTCCCTCTCCAGGGAACACCATAAGCAACACACACATTCATGAGTTGAGCTGCCAGAGTCCATGCCAGAGGATTCTGGGAAAGGGAGCAAGCTCTTCCCTGAAGCCCCTGAACTATCCACCTCCCCAGCTCCTTCCCTCCCAGTACCTCTCCTGCCTAGGCAAACAAGACAATGGGTCAAGGCA